ACAGGGGAACTTAAAAAACTAAATTCTCCCAAAACTAATGAACCAATAAAGAAATGGGCATGTGAACTAAACAGAACTTTCTCAAAAAGAAGAAATTCAAATGGCCAGAAAACACATGAAAAAATGCTCACCATCTCTAGCAATAAAGGAAATGCAAATTAAAACCACACTAAGATTCCACCTCACCCCTGTTAGAATAGCCATCATCAGGCAACACCACCAACAACAGGTGTTGGCGAGGTGCGGGGAAAAAGGAACCCTCTTACACTGTTGGTGGAATGTAGACTAGTACAACCACTCTGGAAAAAAATTGGAAGGCTACTTAAAAGCTGGACATCGATCTACCATTGTGATCCAGCAATACCACTCTGGGGATATACCCAAAAGACTGTTAGCCACCAGAGGGCACCTGCCACATCCATGTTTATTGCGGCACTATTTCACAATAGCCAAGTTATGGAAAACAGCCAAGATGCCCCAGCACTGACGAATGGATTAAGAAAATGTGGTATCTATACATGGAATTTTATGCAGCCATGAAGGAAGAACGAAATGTTATCATTCGCTGGTAAATGGATGGAATTGGAAAACATCATTCTGAGTGAGGTTAGCCTGGCTCAAAAAAACCAAAAATCGTATGTTCTCCCTCATATGTGGACATTAGATCAAGGGCAAACACAACAATATTGGACTATGAGCACATGATAAAAGCGAAGAGCACACAAGGGAGGTGAGGATAGGTAAGACACCTAAAAAACTACCTAGCATTTGTTGCCCTTAATGCAGAGAAACTAAAGCAGATACTTAAAGCAACTGAGGCCAATAGGAAAAGGGGACCAGGTACTAGAGAAAAGGTTAGATCAAAAAGAAATTAACCTAGAAGGTAACACCCACGCAAGGAATCAATGTGAGTCAATGCCCTGTATAGCTATCTTTATCTCAAACCAGCAAAACCCTTGTTCCTTCCTATTATGCTTATACTTCCTGTACAACAAAATTAGAAGATAAGGGCAAAATAGTTTCTGCTGGGTATTGAGGGGGGAGCAGGAGGGGGTGAGTGGGTGGTAAGGGAGGGGGGTGGGGCAGGGGGGAGAAATAAACCAAGCCTTGTATGACATATGAATAATAAAAGAAAAATGAAAAAAAAAAAAGAAGAACCTCATGCTTGCTAGGCAGGTGCTCTACCCCTTGAGCCACTCTGCCAGCCCTGTGTTTGCCTTTTAATGGTAAAGCAAATGCATTTCCCCCAAGAGCTGGACAAATCTGCAAGTTGTGTACATTCTGATTGTTAGGAATGCTTCCAGATTGCCTGTGAGAAGCCTAATTTGCTGCCTCCAGCAGTGTGAGCCCGTTTCTGTTATTCTTACCAATGCTATATCAAATTTCATATTTTCTGTCAGTGTGAAAAATGAAAAGTAGTATCTTGATATTTTGGTGTGCATTTATTTGTGATTAAGATTATACATTCTTTCTGGTGCTTGCTTGGCTGTTTTTTGTTGTTGATTTGTTGTTTTTGTCAACTGCCTCACTCATCCTTAACGGTTTTTCTATTTGACTTTGATGTAATGAATGGCTCTTTCCTTCTGGTAAAAATTGGTATCATAACTGTACTTTGGCATTGTAAATTATCAAAACTAGAGAGTGAACTGGTGGCATGGCTCAAGTGATAGAGCACCTGCCTCGCAAGTGCAGGGCCCTGAGTTCTAACCCCAGTACTGCAAGGAAAAAACAACAACAAAAACTAGAGAGAGCATTCAGTTTTATACAACAGAAAAATGAATGCTTTCAAAAAACTAAATAGTTTTCTGTGCTTATAATGAATTACCCAAACTTTAGTAGCTTAAAACAACATCCATTTATATTCATAGGTACTGCTGACTGGAAGTCCAGGTATGGTTTAGCGGGGTTTCTCTGTCTAACTGAGGTCTCTGCCTAGACTCAGTCTAAGTGTTGACCTGCTATGTTCCTTTCTGAAGCCTGGAATCCTTCTACCCTTAGTACCATGCAGTTCTTGCATCTATAGACTGAGGTCCCCACTCTCTTAGCTGTCAGCCAGGGCCTTCTTAACATTTTCTGAAACCTCTATAGATTCCGGCCCTTTCACATGGTAGCTCATGTCAAAACCAGCAGGAGAACCTCTCACTCCATTCTGCAGAGACTGAGTCTTAATATTTCAGCCACATAATATAATCTATCCAGGGAGGGCTGTCCAAACCCACACTCAAGGAGAAGATGTTATACAGGGTGTACATACTAGGGTACCAGAATCTAGGAGACTAGCTTAGAATTCTGTCTTTTACAGAGTTCTTCCAGTTTCTATCACTATCAATCTCAGGGTGGCCAAGAAATCAACAAAAGTTGGGGTTTTTTTTCATTATTCTTAATTTATTTATTTATTTTTGGTGTTGAGGATGAACTCAGGGCCTTGTGTATGCTAAACACTTGCTGTGCCAAAGAACTATGCCATAGTCAGGAGGAGAACATTACAGCAAGAATGGGTGTAGTCAGTAAAAGATAAGTATGTCACTGTACAGTTTTGTAAGAGAGACTTCGTAGGGGCTAGGCATAGAGACAGAGCAAGATCATTGCCAAGTACATTCAGGGAAGGTGTCATGATAAAGTTAGATCTCAAGCTGCATTTTAAAAATACACAGAAAACCCCAGCGTCAAGAGCCAAAAACTAGTTGTAAAATATATGCAGCTTTCCATCTACAGATGTTTATCCATGTGAAGATATTTCTCTATGTATCTTTTAAAGAGGAACAGAAAGACAGCATCGTAATAGTATTTGCCCCTAACCCGAAGGAACCTGTCCATGCTCCTTTTGTTTTCTCTTGCCTTCTTTGCCACTCACAGAGCAAGGACCCTTTAGCTTTATATCTGCTACTAGTTGAAAGAGTTGTTTTTAAAAGCTGTTGCTTCTATTGGATTTTATTCCTGCACCATCATGGGTGACTGTAGTCTGTTTTAAGGTGCGTGTCTTTTCATTGTTTCTCAAGCTTGATTCCATAGCCATTAAATGAGAACCATTGTATTATAGATTGTCCAAAACCAGCTGACAATTTTTTTGAAATTTTATTAAAAAAAAAAAAAAGCATAATAGGCACCAGTGGCTCAAGCCTGTAATTCTAGCTACTCAGAAGGCAGAGATCAGAAATAACAATGTTGAACCAGCCCCTGGGCAAAATATTTCATGAGACCCTATCTCAAAAACACCCAACACAAAAAAGGGCTTGTGGAGTGGCTGAAATGCAGGGTACAGCCTAAGTTCAAACCCCAGTGCTGCCAAACAAAACAAACAAAAAAAAAACAGCCAAGGATGATAGTATGTGCCTATAGTCCAGGATGCTTCTTGGGGAAGTGAGGCAGGAGTATCTTTTGAGTCCAGGAGTTTGAGGCCAGGCTGGGGACACAGTGAGATCTTGTTCTCAAAACAAAAAGTCTAAGGTTTTTATTAAGATCAAAAACTAGAAGACTTAAAAAAACCCTAGAACTTAAGAAAACAGGCAAGTTTTTACTGTGAGCTGGTAACTTATACTGACTTTACTTTTTCTTTTTTTTTAGCATGGAGATTGGAAAAGGAAGAGGGTAAAGCTGTACCTACAGAATGTGCGCATCAAGGTTTCAAAACAACCCTTAATGAGTTTAAGAATCGTGACAAATATATTAAGATGACTTCAGGTTTAAAGATCGCTTCAGTAAATTAAATCCACGTAAGATCATCCGCATGTGGGCAGAAAAAGAAATGCCACATCTCACAAGGTAAAGAAAGTTTACTGTGCTAGAGGTAATCATGGGAATTTTTTTTTTATCAAGACTACAAGCCAGGCAAAAGATCCATGCTTTCTTTTAAAGTCGCTTATAGAAATAATGGAAGACCTTGAAATTCTAATGTTTAATGAGGTTGTTTATAGAAAACATTTCCATGTATATAACTGAATTCAGACTTTCAAGATGAAAGGCCATTTTCTTTTCTCTTTCCCCAGTGGCATTTGAGGGAAACTATGGCATTTCTGCCTAGACATTTTATTGTATATCTATCCACTTTTAAATCATCTTTTTCAAGAATTAAAATATCCATCTTCTATTATTAAACGTTAGAACTTAGTACAAATAGTGACTTCCCTTTTTATTTCCAATTATGTTGCCTAATACATCTGTTTTTATAAATATGTTGTGGGTAGGGTCTCAACCAGTCAAGTTGTACTTCGCTTTAATTTCTTAGATTTGGTTCTCAATTCTCTAAGCAGTTTTATTTGCTATTAAGGAATGTATTTTATCAACCTAGAGATTGAGTACATAACCTTACTCATTACTACATCTTCCCGTTATCTATTGAAAACTGAATTTAGTTTGTTATTTTCCGAAGATATTTCAAAAGTAATTATCCGTATTTACTAGTTGCAAAATTCTTTTCCTTAGAACTTCCAAGTAGAATAAATTTCTTAGGCAATCCTGCTTCTCTTTGATCTCTTTTCTTTACTACTTTGCTCGTTCGTTCATTCCTGCCTTTCTTAAGACTCTTCAGCAGCTTTCCAAGCCTTTAGTGTGAATTTGGAGACTTTTCATGACATGGAGCTTGTCTGTCTCTATAGCCTCACCCCACTTGCCCTTTCCCCATTACAGATCCAGGTGGATTGACTGATCTGTATTCCAAATGGGCTGTGCTCTCTTGAATGGCTTCACATGTTTCCACACACTGTCCTAATCTGGCTAGGTCATCTCCTGTTCTAAATGCTATGTGCTCCCATAGTGCCAATTCACACCTCTGCTAAAGCATGTGTAACACATGCTAGCCCCTACTTCTTTTCACGTGACTGTCATTCCAACCAGTGTATAGGTTCCTTACAGGCAGAGTCTGGGTGCACTTTTTGTATTTCCGTATCACCAGGGTAGATCATAGTGCCTACTTATTACAGGCCCACATTAGGTATCTGTTGGATAAATGACCTCTTTTCTTCTTCTGATCTTCATATTCTTAATCATTTCTTTCTGTGTAGAATGCGAAGAGCCGGAATTCCTTGTCCAACAGTTGTACTGCTCAAGAAACACATTTTAGTAATGTCTTTTTATTGGGCATGATCAAGTTCCAGCCCTAAATTAAAAGAAGTAAAGCTTAGTAGTGAAGAAATGAAAGAAGCCTACTATCAAACTCTTCATGTAAGTTGCACCTGTGGCAGCACTCAGGACGCTGAGGTTTAAAATATTCCTCTGGCTAAGTGCTATAGTACATGCCTGTGGCCCCAGCTGCTCGGGATGATTAGGCAGGAGGTCTTGAGCCCAGAGATTTGAGGCTAGTCTGGAAAACATAGTGAAACCCCATTTTAAAAAAGAGAAAAAAATTAAATAGTACTAGTTCAAGGTGTCATAACAAGGGCAAACTGAAGTTTGTAAAGGAATATTAACATCAAAGAGTTGTCTTTATATCATCAGTTTGTGGGTGTTTTGAGAATCCAGAGTTTGAGGCTAGCATGGGCTATGTAACAAGACCCTGTCTCAAAGAAACAAAAACAAAGAAGCACATCTCTTTTCTACCATGTCTGGCAGGAACTGCTTTTCACTTTGGCATTGTATATACCCTAAAGGTCTTAATGGAACATTTGTCCTTTTATGGAGGGAAGTGTCTTACCTCAGTCCTCTGGTTAGTGACCACAGACATGGCTGCCATCTCACCTGTTTGGGAATCCAAATCTGACCCTTTGCCTACTGATTTTGCTGTGCTAAGGGCAAAGAAGTAGTGTGTCACACACTGATTCCCTCCATTGTCCTGTCTAAACAATGACAGCAAATGCCTAATCCTAGATTATATCCAGTAAAGAGGAAATAAGTCTTTGGGGCTGTGGATGTAGACAAGTGAGAGAGCACTTGTCTAGTATGAACAAGGCCCTGGGTTTGAATGCTATCCCTAGGTGGGGGAGAGATGAAATAAGTTTTTTAACTTGACTTTGTTTTTCTGGGAAATGTTTGTGTGTGTATACACACACACACTTTAACTGTATTGATAATTAGAATTGGTTCATTTCCAAAGTGTCTGCCTTCTCTCCTCACAGTTGATGCAGAAGTTGTACAATGAATGTACTCTGGTACATGCCGACCTCAGCGAGTATAACATGCTATGGCATGCTGGAAAGGTGAGCAGTACGTGTGGCTAACATTCATGTTAAATCACCTGATGTAAGTTATCGAATGTAAATACATCAGTTTGTGCTCTCTGTTGAATAGGTTTGGTTGATTGATGTCAGTCAGTCAGTAGAACCAACCCATCCTCATGGCCTGGAGTTCTTGTTCCGTGACTGTAGGAATGTTTCACAGGTAGGCATGTGAACCACTATGTCTTTTTGTAACGGTTCAAATGTTTTTTCACTTTCTAAGATAAGTAGGAGGACCATATTCATAGAAATTGAAGGAAGGGATACTGGTTGCCTTCCAGATAAGGATATAAAGATCAGTTTGTCAAGTTTAATTTTCAGCAAGATTTCAATTCCATGTCTCACATTTGAGCAAAATTTCCAAGGGATGTCTTGTTTGGGCTCCTAATATTTAAGCAGTCAAGTAGACATGTAATTCATACATACTGCTTAAACAGAAGCTGGTACATAGTGAGCCTGCATGCTTACTGCCCACCCTAGAAGGGGGTGGTTTTAGGGGGGAAGTGTTTGATCACACTGTTACTGAGAAAGAGTAAAACTAGGGGAGGTACTCAGTTAAGCAAGGAACTGGGTCCACATTTGAGTGTCATTTTAAGGGAAATGACATGTTAGCAACAGATTCAGATAAGAATGATCTTTCCTAAAATAGAATATATTTATATTGGAAATAATCTTGAGCCTGCTTGAAAATTTTAATTCACAAATTTAGTGAGTAATTTTGTGTCAACACATTCAAAAACAGTGCCAAACAATTTTTTTTATAAGAGTACCAATTTTCGTAGCCAATGAAGGTGCAGTGTGACAATCTAAATTCAGAAGACAGAATGAATGTGTAGGAAAGGACAAAACCAAGTAGAACCTGAGCATAGTTAAACTTGAAGTTGGAAAATGAATGTTTGAAAAATGATGGAAGGAACCCAGTGGTGTCTTAGGAGTATCCCGTTTAGTTATAAGAGAACCTTGCTTATGTCCCTTACTGACTTGCATACATCTCATTACTAGTTTTATCAGAAAGGAGGAGTAAAAGAGGCCCTCAATGAACGGGAACTCTTCAATGCTGTTTCAGGCTTGAACATCTCAGCAGATAATGAAGCTGATTTCTTAGCTGAGGTAGGTGATGTACAAGTCTGTTTGCCTTGCTGGTGATGGAACGCTGCATAGAGGAGACATCCAAACCCAGAGCCCACGTTATGCTTCCCTCTCCCTGACAGGATTAAATTTGAGATTTTTTCTTTTCTTGAGATGCTTTGGGTCCTTTTCATACTGAAAACTTAGAATAAGCTTATAGCAAAACACTTCTTCAAGGTATTCACAGTTTGGTTAGGATGAACAAATAACCACATTTCCAGTTGAACCCTGTTTCCCCTGTTTTAAGAATGAGGAAGATGACTAGGGAACATTCTGAGTGATACAGAAGCAGTAAGCAATGAACATATGGTTCCTGCCCTTACAGAAAACACAGTTTAGAAGTGGCCATCTTATAAATATCCCTCTTTATAATATTATAATATCAGAAGCCATAGAAAACATAACAACAAAAAACGCCTTCCTCCATCCAGAACAAAAACTAAACAGAAGGCAGCAGCTAACTGCACCCAGCATTTTACCAAAGCAGAAAATACATTCAGAGAGTTCCAAAACTCTCCAGTATGACTTAGTTCTGCCAAGCTCTGCTGGAACCTAAGGCCAGAGGAGAGGTGACAGAAAGGTGGTAAATTCAGCATGTAGCACAGTACAGTGGCTCAGTGAGTTGGTGGTACTGTTGTTCAGAGAAGGGTGGGATTCCCTGTTTCCTGTTCCTGGAAAGCTCATAGAGTATACAGCAAGACCTATCAGATTCCATTTGCTAGCTCCTACAGAGATTTTAAGTATTGACGCTGGTAGTACAGTCAAGTAAAAAACACACAAGGATATTTGCGTACATATGTGCACAGATACTTTGAGAAACTAAATTCAAGGCCCCATCTTCAGGAATGGTCTTCGTGTTAGAGAGCAAAAACCCTGCCTCACCCTGAGGTATGCTTTATGTGAGGTAGAAATTTGACAAGTGGATGTCAAATGAACTGTATTCAATTGCTTTTGTAGATAGAAGCTTTGGAGAAAATGAATGAAGACCATGTTCAGAAGAATGGAAGGAAGCTGCTTCATTTTTTGAAAGTGATGGAGACCACCAGTGGCTGTATGCTGAATAGCATCATCACCCACTGCTTTCCGTGTCAATGCAGTGGAGACTGTCAGCTGCCGAATGCAACTGAAGAGTGGGTGACTTGGAATACCAACAGAGGAGGAGTGTACAATGGTGCTTCTGTGCTTTCCCCCTTGTAACTCATGTGCCAGATGTGTGGAATTTTTTAGCTCTCGGCATTGAGAGAATAAATGTCACTACCTCTCATCTTACGATCAGGATAATTATCAGTTCTTTAACAGCTACAGCTCATCCAGCTGAAGGAGACCGAATTTTACACGGCTCGTGATATAAAATGTCTTGATGATAATTTTTAAAACTTAGGGAACATTTCAAATGTGGGAGGAAAGGACAGATGTGTTTTACAAGGGAGGTTTATGATGGCACGTTTGGCTTTATTTACCTCCCTGTTTTGAGTTGCATCCTTTATCAAATATTATTCAGCCTAAAATTAGCCCTTTTTAATTCTTTTTCTAAACTGTGACCAGTATTCTAAAGGAAAATTTCTTCTTCTTAATGGGTGTTTATAGAAATGAAACTTGTTTCAGAAAGGGCTGATGGAATAGATATAAGCAATGTACTTTTTTATTGGTACATAGAGAAAATGAACGGAATTTTACTTTTAAAGTCATCATAGGTTTCTGAAAGAGGAAAATATATAAGAACTTCTTGGGCTGGAGGCATGGCTCAAGTAGTAGAGCGCCTGCCTAGCAAGTGTGAAGCTCTGAGTTCAAAACCCAGTATTGCCCTCCTCACCCCTCAGAAAACTTCATAATCAACCAATTTTAAAAATTAACTTTTAAACTTTTCTACATTTAGGTTAAGTGGTTGGAATGTAACTCATGGTCTGGCTGATTTACATTTATATATGAAAAAGTAGAATCACTCTTTGGAAGGACAGAAAATAAGAGCCATATGTTTGACATATTTTCAGTGAAGTTGATGAAACAGGTTTTAGGTTTACATTTCAACTAAAACTATGTTATGTAATTGATGATTGATTTTTGAGAGAAACAGCAAACTAGAGGTATTAAGTAATCAGAGGATAAAAAATAGTGTATAAAAAGCAAGTTGGTATCACATTAACCAACTAATTTGAGGCTATCTGGACCTCATTTTAATAGTTAAAGCACTGGCCAGACACTACATAAAAAAAGCAAGTAGGGCACTGGGAAAGTACTCTGAGCTTCGTTAGGATGAAGTTCATTGTCTACGAGCCTTATTCTTCCTTACTGAGGTTGCATTGGACCACTAAAAGATCCAAACTTTCTGTCAGGTAGTAGAAAGTGAAAACCTAGACATGGTTTACATTTGAAAAAGCTCTTCTTTTAACATTATTTTAAAATGTCAAATATGTTCTTTCCAGAAAAGTATTTTTGTTTCTGTTATAGCTTTTAACTGAATTAGAGATGTGTGATTTTGGGTAGTCTCATTACACTTCTGAAATGTTTACTACTCTGAAACAAAAAGATTTAGCTGACTAGTAGTTATTGGGTTTACAGAAATTTCAGAGAACTAATTTTTAAAACAATCATTTAAAATTTTTTTGTTTTGTTTTCTGACGTACTCTGTTTAACAAAAAGACAGCAGACCATTGCTTGGAGTGTGCTGTGAACATGGCTTTTACAAAATTAAAAACGCAGACATCATTTTAGAACTGGTTCATTGTGTGATTTGTTTCTGTTCTTTGTACTAACTAAATGTCCTGGCACCAAGTTACCTTTCTACATATAATTAAGCAGTACTGTTTTTTCCCCTCAACATCTCATCTTTGACTTTCACTTTCAAATTAAGTAGAATTTCACTACACTTGACATTTACAAATAGGTTTTTCTGGACTGGCAGCGTGGCTAAAGTGGTAGAGCGCCTGCCTAGTAAGTATGAGGCCCTGAGTTCAAAACCCAGTGCCACCAAAAAAATAAAATAAAAAGCCAAATAGGTTTTTCCATTCTTACAACTCAGAGAGCAAATTCCTTCCACATGATAAGAAAAGAAAGTAGAAGACGGTATTTTGTTGTTTGCTAAATAAGTTACAAAAATATATATAATACAGAAATAGGGATATTTTTGTCTCACTGTAATCAAGTGGATGAGTATCTATAAAATTAAGTTACCAACATGAAAGATGACTGGAGAAAAGTTATATTTTTTTTTTTTCATTTTTCTTTTTATTATTCATATGTGCATACAAGGCTTGGTTCATTTCTCCCCCCTGCCCCACCCCTCCCTTACCACCCACTCCACCCCTCCGCTCCCCCCCTCAATACCCAGCAGAAACTATTTTGCCCTTATCTCTAATTTTGTTGTAGAGAGAGTATAAGCAATAATAGGAAGGAACAAGGGTTTTGCTGGTTGAGATAAGGATAGCTATACAGGGCATTGACTCACATTGATTTCCTGTGCGTGGGTGTTACCTTCTAGGTTAATTCTTTTTAATCTAACCTTTTCTCTAGTTCCTGGTCTCCTTTTCCTATTGGCCTCAGTTGCTTTTAAGGTATCTGCTTTAGTTTCTCTGCATTAAGGGCAACAAATGCTAGCTAGTTTTTAGGTGTCTTACCTATCCTCACCCCTCCCTTGTGTGCTTTCGCTTTTATCATGTGCTCATAGTCCAATCCCCTTGTTGTGTTTGCCCTTGATCTAATGTCCACATATGAGGGAGAACATACGATTTTTGGTCTTTTGAGCCAGGCTAACCTCACTCAGAATGATGTTCTCCAATTCCATCCATTTACCAGCGAATGATAACATTTCGTTCTTCTTCATGGCTGCATAAAATTCCATTGTGTATAGATACCACATTTTCTTAATCCATTCGTCAGTGCTGGGGCATCTTGGCTGTTTCCATAACTTGGCTATTGTGAATAGTGCCGCAATAAACATGGATGTGCAGGTGCCTCTGGAGTAACAGTCTTTTGGGTATATCCCCAAGAGTGGTATTGCTGGATCAAATGGTAGATCGATGTCCAGCTTTTTAAGTAGCCTCCAAATTTTTTTCCAGAGTGGTTGTACTAGTCTACATTCCCACCAACAGTGTAAGAGGGTTCCTTTTTCCCCGCATCCTCGCCAACACCTGTTGTTGGTGGTGTTGCTGATGATGGCTATTCTAACAGGGGTGAGGTGGAATCTTAGTGTGGTTTTAATTTGCATTTCCTTTATTGCTAGAGATGGTGAGCATTTTTTCATGTGTTTTCTGGCCATTTGAATTTCTTCTGAAAAGTTATATTTCAACAAGGTAATTCATCACCAATTTCTCTTATAAAAACAAAATCAGATTTTTTCCCTGATTATAAGAACATATGTTCTTTTGAATCTAAATATCAGGAATTTAGAACTATTAAAAGTCCTTTTTATTCCAAAAACCATTGTTTATAGTGTGGCATACATCCTTGCCAAGTTTTTCCCCTTAGCATGTTATGCTATTTTCTTTTTCAAAGTATCTTTGAACAAAAAGAATGAAGTGAAGCAGCTGGATGGGTAAGGGTTGAACATGGAGGACTCCCTTAGGAAGATGGAAATAGGATGTGACAGAGGGTGCGATGGTTAGTCTTCATTGTCAACTTGATTGAGAAATACCTAGATTAGTAAAGCACATCTCTGGGTGTGTCTGAGGGAATTTCCAGATACCAGATCATGAGGGTTCTGATATAATGAATCCATGGATGGATTTGAAATTTAAATAGACTGGTCGGGAGGTGGTAGAACTGTGGAAGGTGGGGCCTGGTTGAAGTATGTCACATGTCCTTGGGGCTTTTATATTGCCTTGGCTCCTCCTGTTCCTGCTCTGCTCTACTCTGCTTCCTGTCCACCATGACATGAACTGCTTCCCCATGTTTTCCCCACCATGGTGACTGAACCTTATGAAATCACGAGCAAAGAAACCTTCCTCCCTTATGTTATTTTTGGTCACAATGATGATAAAAACTAACAGGGAACACATTTCTTACTGCTCACTCAGGCTCTGATCATCAGAAGAGATTGCTTTTTGTACCTTTTGAAATGAAAAGCATTTTTCCAGTACTTTAGAAGTGATGGGGGAGGCATCTGATTTTATTTTCAAACATTGATACTTAGGTTTATGAAGATGTATATATTTATATATATACATTTTCTTTTTTGGTGCTGGGATCGAACCCAGGGCCTTGCGCATGTTAGGTAAGTGCTGTACCACCGAGCTATATCCCAGCCCCAGATGTATATATTTTTATTAGCTTTTTTTTGTGGGGATTACATAACCATTTAATAAGTTTTTTAAAGTTTATTTTAAACTTGGAGACATTTGCTAATTTGAAAGCCTCTTGTTTTTAATCTTTGATCTCCAATTAGTTTCCATTTCAAAATATTTGATTACATTTGGAGCATTACTTTTCATTCTCCCAGGCTTTCCAACTGTGTCTCAAACATAGGTGGCTTTTTGCAGAGCTAAGATCAATTGTAGCAGATAACAGGAGATGGAGGAGGAAAGTGGGGTATTCATTACAAAATACATGAGTCAGCTACGATAAAGCTCTATAAGCTTTATTTTTAACCTCTTATGCTTTCTGGAATACAATGAATGCAAAATTCTTTAGAATAGTTGACATAAAACCTTAAGAACAGTTTCTGGGTAAAGCCCCAAATGAGCTAAAATTCATGAAAAATGTAGAAAACTTCAAGAAGGGTTTGCAAAGTTAAATTGAAAGCAAGAAGAAACACCCATTGCTTGATGTATTCATGTGTTGTTATTAAGTAACAACAGAACTATTAACTTACTTAACCTTTTTGAAGTTGAAGTTTGTAGGTTTTGTTTTTGAAGGAGTTTTGTTTGTTGATGGTTTAGTATGCATCCAGGATCCAATCAAGATTTACTCATTGAAAATGAGGGTTAAATCTCTTAAATTGGTATTAATCTAGAAGTTTCCCCAATTAAACATTTTAGGACTTTTTTCATCTTCAAAATACTAATAACTTTTATGAGTTTTATATGTGAGATGCTCTACTAAAATGTCACTGTGCAGGCAGAGCATGTAATACTTTTTCACTGGATCCCCAGCAAGAGAATTGTGCCTTGCATATGGTAAGTGCTCAGTGAGTGTGTGAAGGAATGTACAAAGGGAGCTTAGCCTGTGCAGTGTTTTCTAATTATTTCCAGCTCCTTACTTGACATCTCCACTTGAATGTCTGCTGAGCATTTCAAATTTTCTTTTGTGCTCTGCATCCAAGAAAAATTTATCTAGATTCTAACCAGTCTTTACCGTGCCCACTGCTGCTGCTGCCAGTGGTGAAGGCAAGGGAAGTCTTATAGAGGAGAGTGAGACCTCTACTCAGTGTTTTTAGGTTCTTGTCACCAACAGAGAAAGAATTCAGAGATGAGACAAAGTAAAGAATTGGGAAGAAGTTTTATTACAGAGCTAAAGTACATACTCAAGAGGGAGTGCAGCCTTCTCAAGAGAGTCATGCTTTGCAGGCTTTAACTTTAGGGGATGTTGTACAGGATTACATAGGTTATTTTTTGGTTAGGGTGATTTAACAAGGAATATGCCATTTCTTTGTCTCGTCAGGGCGCAAGTTAGAAAGTCACTCATGTCTCCAGTTGAAGCTGTCCTTTTAACATACGGTCCAGCTTGGTGGTTGTTGATCCCATGTTTAGATATTATATGGCTTACAGGCTATCAGTTCCTGTTGTTAATATTCCTTTTTGTTCTTTAACTTCTTCCCTTTGACCCCTTCATCCTCCCTAGACAGTCTCTGCTATTGTCAGCTTCTTTACCCCTTCTAGTCTTTAACACAGCAGCCAGAATGATCCTTTTTAAAATAAAAGTTAGGTCACTCTGTCCAAAAACTATACTCCAGTGAATTCCCATCTGGCTCAGAAGATCCAAATGGCTTGCAGCAGCATAAAATCTTTCTGGTGTACCTTCATCCCCTCTTCTAGCCACACCAGCCTGCTTGGGAATCTTCAAACATCCTTGCTTTAGGGCCTTTGCTCTTATTGTTTCCTTTGGTTGGAATGCTCTTCTACTGGATATTCACACATCTCCATCCTTCAAGTCTGTGTGCAAGTCATCTTACTGATGGCACTAGTTCTCTAGTTCTGCATAACAAGCACCTCAAAGTTCCATGATTTAGGACAACACAGTGTCTCACACAGCTTATAATAGGAATCAAAGAAATGGCTTAGCTGGGTGGTTTTAGTTAACTTCTCATGAGTTTGCAACCAAGCTATCAGCTGAGGCTATAATCACCTAAAAGCTGGATTGGGATTGGAAAATTCACTCCCCAAATTTTTGTCTGGGACTAGGAATCAGACTGATAAAGATATTAACAGGAGAAAATCATACACATGTATTTAACCTTTATGTGACAGGGGCCCTTATAAAGAAATGAGTGCTCCTGAGGTGGAGCACTCAGAAAATGGAGGCAGGAGGATGACAAGATGGAGGCCAACCTTGGCTACATAGCAAGACTGTCACAAACAAATAGGCAAAGTATTTTTGGGATGGAGGTGTAACTCAGTGGTAGAGTGCTTGTCAAAAACGTGGCAAGTCAAGGGGGCTTGGGCATTAATTGGGGAGAAGTGACTAGGAAGAAAAGGGTTAGTTAATAAAATTGGTTTGTATAAATATTTTTTAGTTTTGACTCCCCACTTCTGGTGATCAGAATGCATTTTTCTCCAGGTATAGGGAGGGACCTTCCCCATGGGAGTTTCATCTCCCACTTTTAAGAAATTCAGGGGTGCCCTCCTAAATGTTGTGTTTGGTTTTGTTTTTGGTGGGACTGGCATTTGAACTTAGGGCTTCATGCTTGCAAAGCAGGGGCTCTACCGCTTGAGCCATATCTCCAGTCCATTTTACTCTGGTTATTTTGGAGATAGGGTCTCATGAACTATTTGCCTCCAGATCTCAGCCTCCCAAGTAGCTAGGATTAGAGGCATTAGCCACCGGCACCCAGCTTGTTTTAGTTTCTTTAACACAAAACAATCAACATGACAGCAAGGCATATCTTGGGATGGCATTTTTCTGGACCCCATCACAAAGGCACTGTTAGCCCCAGCCCTGAGTGCTTTCTGGCTGTTGGCAGGGGGCTCCATCCTTTAGAGGAGCAACCTCTCAGAAACTGACTGCCCAGGCAACATGGCAATGTGACAGATCCAAAAAAGTAGAGTAGGCATGGCATCACCTGTCTTTTGTCATTTGTATACTATCCTATTGGTGCACAGAGCAGCCTTGTTCAACATGGGGCAGTGAGGAGAATACACCAGGACAGGAACCCCAGGTGGAAGAACCACCAAGGGTACCACCCAACGTTCCCTCCCCGTGTCTTTCCATAGAACATATTCATATCTAACATGTTTTACTCATTTCTGTTTCTACCTACTACGTGTTAAGCTTCATGAGAGCAGGAATTTTTGTCAGCTTTATTCATTGCTGTATCCCAATATTGTAATGGTGCCTGGCACATCTGAGCAGAAGCTCCAATTTATTTTTGAGCATATGAAAGTGTAAAAGGTGCTCAAACTGCTCTTGCTGAAAAGCACTGACTCCTTACTTGGGTATCCAAATTGACTAAAAACAGGGGAAGCTTGGCCTCCCTGCCTCCATTTTGTATCTGTCTTTGCTGTAAGCCGTTCTCTTTGCAGTCACTTTGCAATCACCTTGGATTCTAGGAAAGATGGGTAACATCTTCATGACAAGGGACAGAAACACCCAACAGTAGACCTTCCTTTGGATGACCACCTGCCTGGCTCCAGATAACAACTCTGGAACCTCTCCTGGAATCCCTGAACTGAGATAATGGTCAACCAGAACACATGTGTGATGTGACTGTTTAACTAGGCACACCTTTGTCCCCTAGTTCTTTTGTCTACTTAAACCTATAGCTCTTGTTTGTACCTGGAAGATGACTAAGAATGAGCAGAGTGCTAATTCTGCCTCTTCCCACAGCATGTCCTAAGCTGTGCAATAAATCTCCTTTCTCTGCCTCCACCATGCCTCTTTATTTGACATTTAGGGGCAGGTGGCCAGACCTGGCATACGGAATCTCAGGAGTTTGGGCCTTGGGTCCAAAACTCCGGTTTCAGTACCTATTAGTTTCCAAGTGCTTTTAATTTCAATACTCACTATGCCAGAAAGGCATTTTAACTCATTCCATCTACACTTAATTTTTTTTTCTGTTTGTGAAAATAATACAAGCTCATTTTTAAAATTCAAACAATGCCAAGGTAGAAATAAGAAAGCAGAAATCACCCACAGTAGAAGACAACCACCCTGAATTTTATTCTTTGTACTTACATACATACAAATATACAAACATGACTTCAAATGTAAAATACTTATGAAATAAAAAAGTTATAAAGCAATGATATATAGTCAAAATTTGCCAGTTAGTATAGGTATAAATACTTCTAGAAAAAGTTCCTTTTATAATAAAAATTATTCATGCTCATTCTAAAAACAAAAGGAATTTAGAAAGTTGAAAGAAGAAAGTAAAAGCCACCCAGACACCTGGCAAGCAGGCAGAACCACTATATGAATTTTGGCTCACATCCCTTCAGACATCTCTCATAGAGTCTGACAAAATTAAAAACAAATAAATAAAAACAAACAAAACTCAGAAAACCATGGAAGCCCATTATTGCTTTTAGGTTTTAGAAACCATCAAAAGCAACTTCCCAGCTACTTGGGAGGAAAACAAGCGCGTGTCACTGCTTATCTTACACACCAGGAGTTACAGAGCCCTGCAAAACACAGGCAGGGGCAAATTAGGAAGAAGAAAACAAACTAGAGAACCCCTGCTCACTCACTTACTTACTCCCAGGGGCTGTCCAGGCAGACAGGTGACCTCCATCCAACTAAGGACTGATGAAATTGCCTAAGGATGCATTTATCAGCACATATTCCCATGGTTAAGGAAAGGCTGAATATAAGGCTGAGATCAGGAGGATCCCAGTTTGAAGCCAGCCCAGGCAAATAGTTCTTGAGACTCCAATGTCAAGAATAACCACAGAAAAATGGACTGGTGGTGTGGCTCAAGTGGTAGAGTGCCTGCTTTGCAAGTGTAAAGCCCTGAGTTCAAATCCTAGTCCTGCCCCAGCAAACAAAAAAGCTTGAGTCCTGGGAACATTTGGAATTTTAAAATTCTAGAAATGACTGTTAATGCATTTTAAAGGACCATTTTCAGAGTTTTGAGGTTTAGCAGTGAAAAGTTAATTTTTATAAATCTAGGAAGACTAGGAGAGCTTCTCTGGGCACTGGACAAATAACTGACTTTTTTTTTATTGCAGAAAAGTAATGTTTGCTCACAGAGGAGCAAAAACTTTGTTCTGGATCGATCTTCCAAATTCTGTGCAGCTAGCAGGGGCTTCCAGGTGCTTCAGCATCCCCTGGGCCCAAAACCACTGTCAAGACCACTGTGGCCAGGGCCCCTCTCCCATAGTAATGTGTTACCTGCTCAGGCTGCCAAAACAACATTTATTTTCTCATGTTGGAGGCTGGAATTCCAAGAATGAGGTGTCAGCAGGGTTGGTTTCTTCTAATGCCTCTCCCCCTGGCTTTCAGATCGCTGTCTTCTTACTGTGTCTCCACAGCTGAGAGTTGAGAGGAAAAATGCCTTGGTGCACTGAAGTTTAGCTCTGCCCAAGCAGCACTTGCAGTCCAATATAAGCCCCCAGCCGGCCCTGATTCTTGGGTTGCCGGCCTTACAGCTGTAATGGGTTCAGTGTTTCCTCAGGTTCCCAAGGGAGAAACCCTCCTTAATGAGAGAGAGAGAGTGTGTTTCCTCAGGTTCCCAAGGGAGAAACCCTCCTTAATGTGAGGAGAGAGAGAGAGAGAGAGAGAGAGAGAGGTCCACTGTAGCTAAGTCATGGTTGGGGTTTCTTCTGGAAAATAGACTCCATTGGAGTGCCAGACTCTCACAGTCACTTCCTAGACAGGCTTCTCCAGTTTGGCACAACCTGTACCGACCTCAGGTGAAGACTTGTCCCTTCTTATGTCACCAAATATGATGCACAGATGACGCATGACACAGCAGGAATTTCAGGTGTTCAGGGTTCTTGGGTCCACTCTGAGAAGGAAAGCACAGGCAGACTCAGCAGCAGAGGTCAGAAAGATTTTATTTGTAGAGGAGAAGAGAAGGGCTGCATGGGGGAGTTCAGGGGGACACGGAAACCAGTGGTCCGGTGGGTCAGATTGGAAATTGGGTTTTATAGCCTTTTTGCAAAGGGTTAAGATGGTAAATTTTTACCGTGTTTTTAAACCAAATTTAAAAGGGCTCGCATGCAATCCAAGCAGGTTTCCCAGTTGCAAGTTCACATCTAGCGTCGGGGCTCATTCTCTCACTAAGCTCCACAGGCAGGAAGGAGTCCTGGCACCAAGGGCGCACATAAATCCCTGGGAAAGCACAGGTGAGCCTTTCCAGGACACTTGGGTCCGGATGGCATCTGCTCGGGCCACAATCCTGCTTCCGGGTCACCGCCCTTGGCTCATCCACCCTCCCTTTAGAAAAAGGGAGGAGCCCCTCGCTGGGGGCGGGGAGCGCCTACTGCCTGTGGGCCCCACCACTAGACGTGGCCCGTTTAAGCGCGGAGGCCCTCGGGTCACGTGGTGGGCGGGCCGGGGGCGTGGCACCAGGAAGCGGCCTCAGCGCCCGGCCGGGATCGCCGCCGCCTCCCCCCACCCGGCGAGCCTGACTCCCCCGGCCCACGCGGCCCACGCCCCGCGCCGGCGCCTCTCGCCCCGCTCTGCTCTAAGCTGGCGGCCGCCCCCAGGGCTGCAGCTGTCGCCGCGGCGCCCGCCATGGGCGAGGAGGACTACTACCTGGAGCTGTGCGAGCGGCCGGTGCACTTCGAGAAGGCGAACCCAGTCAACTGCGTCTTCTTCGACGAGGCCAACAAGCAGGTCCGGCGGCCGGGCGGTCGGTGCGCGGAGCCCGGGGCCCGCGGGCCAGGCCGGGCCTCGAAGCCCCGGCCCGCGCTCCAGCCCCGTGCGTGGGCCGTGCGGTCCCCGCTGCACCAGCCCTCGGCCGCCCCGACTGGGTCGTCAGCTGTCAGCAGAGCCTTTTATCTTTGTCATAGTCACACTCGCAGCCAGGGATTTTTTTTTTAACATGTTGAGATGTTCCGTTTTCTCGAAATGTTGCAAAGGAGAAAAGCAGTGGGTACCTGCGTGCACCCGCACCAAGTGCACGAACCGACCCGCGGGAGACAGACAGTGGGGACAGCAGCCTTTTGTTTTGTACTCTCTTCTTTTTAAACAATTCATAGGATCAGCCAAGCTCCTGTACCTAGATGTGTGCCCTGGTATTTAAGGTGGACCAAGGTTGTGGAACACCAGGAACAACCACTGATACATTGGCATATGAGCCTAGATAGAGCCTTTCAAAGTTCAGACCATTGACGTTGCTGCTTTTCCTTCGCAGGTTTTCGCTGTTCGATCAGGTGGAGCTACTGGGGTGGTAGTTAAAGGCCCAGATGATAGGAATCCCATCTCGTTTAGGTAACAGTATTGCCATTTTCAGAATGATTTTTCACATGCGAAGCAATATGCTGTTTTTCGAATTCAAAAGATGGTTGTATAAATTTGTCTTTGCCTCTCCTAAGAGCTTTGAGGTGCTTGTATGTGGGTGGGATCCCTGTATGTAGGGAGAAGAAGCAGACACCTGCTGGTGGGGTCTTGGTGCACATTGTAGAACGGTTACAGTGAAAATATGTGTAGCAGTTTATGTGGGTGGGAATCAGATACTCCAAAAATAGGGCACCTACTTCCTGCTACTTGAACTTAGCAAGTCAGGGCATTGATGCACTGGTTTCCGCTCCTTGGAGAGTGGGGGCTTTATTTCCTCCTTGTAGCCCAGGTCTTTTTAGAGTGTTGGTGGGTGGAGGAGATTCAGTGTTTCTCTGTAATACAAGAAAGTCATGGCTTCCACTATACTGAATGTCCCAGTTTATACAAGTCGAGGTGGAGTAGCCCCTTTCACTTTTATAAATGTCTGTTTGGGTGACAAACTATCCAGTCATCTTAATTCCTGTGATTACAGAAGGAAAAAGTACAAGGTAGGCACTCAATTCACTGGTAACTTAAAGTTACATAGTTAAATTGGGTTTGGTGGTACATACCTGTAATCCCAGCACTCCAGGAAGCTGAAGCAGGAGAATCTGGAATTCGAAGCCAGCCTGGGCTATGTATTGAGATACTGTCTTGAAACAAAACACAAAAAGCACACACACACAACACAGTCAGCCTCTGTTAATGGGAAAGTGCAGTAGAAAACAGTCCACTTCTTTTTCTTGTTATTCAGCAAACACTGATGGCAGCCCATGTGTAAGCGAGTAAAGGATGAATTAGCCTGATCTCCTTTGGAGAACTAACTTCAGTGTGGGAGAAAAGAGTAGCAAATTCTATTTGCTGTGATAGGTGCTGTTCAGTATGTGGAGACACATAAGAGATGTGGCCTTGATCTTGGGATAGGGTAGGGGTACCCCTAGCTGGGAATATGTGGCATTGTGTTGGTGTTCTTAAGGAGGCATGCAGCCTTTGAACAAGGTTTTAAAATATGAATGGCAGATTTCTGGGTGGAGAATCGGGGAGACCTAGGTGGAGCACACCAGGGGCAAAGGTGTAGCGTTTTGGGGATTTTACATCTGTGTAACTGAAAGTCATATTCTGTGGGGAAGAAGTGGTGGTGGTGTGGCAGGGGTGGCTTGAGCCTTATACATTCCCCTGTGAGATTAGGGCTTTATCTTATCACTGAAAACTTGTCAGGTTGTGTCACTTTGGTGTTTGGAAACATCATGCTGTCTGCATCCTTGATGCTGGATTGTTGGGAGCCTAGCAGGCTGGGATAGCACTGAGAGACAGAAGTGATCAGCTGAGCCAGGTCACCATGGCCAAGACTCCATCTCATTGGAAACCAAGGCATGCTTAGGAAGGCCTGTGGTAGACCTGCATCTGAGATGTTCATGATGGTCTAGATTTGGGGGCTCTGAGGAGTTTGAGGGATATAGTACTGAATTTAACTTTTTAAAAACAGGTTTTGATAACCAGTGTTACTGATGTGTAATTGGCTCGTGATGCCCTGCATATATTTAGTGTATATAATGTGATGAGTTTTGACATATGTATATACCGTGAACTTATCACCACAGCCAAAATAATGGTCATGTCCACACCGCCCAAAAGTTGCCTTGTGCCATCTATTATCATCCCTTGGATGCCTTTTGAGCGGGTTTGGGGTGGTTGTGTGACACAAGGAGTAGACTGTCTAGGCCTTGCAGGAGCTGTGTGTTGCATGGGACAATGGAGAGTAGAGGCTTCCCTCTGAAAGCTTGCTGTGAGATCCACAAAGAGAAGGCTGTATTTGTGGAGAAGGTCACTATGTGGGTACACAGTGTAGTTATGTCTAAACAAATTCTCAGGGGATGAGCATATGTCATCCCAATTCTATAATCACTCATTACCTATTGTCTTCTCAATTTATCCAGCAACTTGTCACTAGTTGAATTTTGTTGTTAAAATGAGGTCCTGCTGACAGCTTCAGAAACATAATTCTAGTGTTAAGCTAGGATTTGCTGCCTCCTGAATGTTTGTCTTGTTTTTTGCTAATAAGTGATAATAGCTAGAATTCTGTTTTGTTTATCTCGTAACCTATTTTTTCTTCTTAAAGAATGGACGACAAAGGAGAAGTGAAGTGCATTAAGTTTTCCTTAGAAATAAGATACTGGCTGTGCAGAGGACCTCCAAGACTGTGGTAAGACACATCTTCAAATATAGTAGTAAACAGAGAACATTAGAAGTACATTTGGAAGAGAAGGAATTGCAAAATTCTCTGTGCTAAAGGAAATACTTATCTCACTGTCCTGAAGGATATAGTTACGTAGCATTGTATTGGAACCTTTATAGATGAGAAAGACATTTGAGTGGATAAATAAATCTGATCTTAGTTTGACATTTTTTGGCTTACAATTTTTTTAAAAAAGTAATTTGGGACTCTATGCATCTTTGTGTTGCTTGATAGCTAGCAGAATGGATTGTGTGAGGTATAGTTTTTTGATTGCTTGGTGAATTAGCCTTATTTAAGTCACTTCATTTACTCGCTTATTTCATTTTTGAATGTAGGGTCTAATAGGAACTGATATTCAGAGTTGAAGCAGCTTACTGGAACTTTATATTTTAGAAATATTCCCTATTGCAGGGTTAGGGCAGTGTAGCTCAGTGGTAGAGTGCTTGCTTAGCATGTGCAAGGCCTTGGGTCAATCCTCAGCACTGGGGAAAACATAAAAGCTGTTGAGATAGGCAGAATCCTGCTCTGATTTCCTTCATCAGTATTAATGGTCAGAATATCTGAGAAGACTCTTGTGAAAAGCAGTGACCCATTCCTCTGACATCACTCATTTGAGCAATGAATTTTCGAAGTTTTTAGCTGACTGATTGACCTGCTATTAAGGAGGCAGATGATCCAAATTCATCTTTGTATGTTTCTTGTTTTGGATGTGAGTAATTTTCTGATCACTTTTACAAATTGATCAGGCTTTTCACATTGTAGTATGTCTGGGTAGGTTGGCAGTAAGCAGCTCAATCCACATTTTTTCGAAGTTTTTAGCTGACTGATTAACCTGCTATTAAGGAGGCAGATGATCCAAATTCATCTTTGTATGTTTCTTGTTTTGGATGTGAGTAATTTTCTGATCACTTTTTACAAATTGATCAGGCTTTTCACATTGTAGTATGTCTGGGTAGGTTGGCAGTAAGCAGCTCAATCCACATTTTTCCCTGTGTTTTGTTTTCTTCCTTTCTAGGATTTTTGTAATTTTATCCTGATAATTCTCAGCTGGAATACACACAGGAGTGCAAGGTAATGGACAGGTTCTTTCCACAGCTGATGGGCAGGCAGCCTTAGCTGTGGGCTGCATGTGGCGAATGGTGGGGGTGGGGTTGGAGGTATCAGTTTTCGAATAGGCTCTGGGGAACGCTGAGATGATGAGCTGGGATTCCATATGGAACCCTAAACGTCTTTCCATTTTGAAAGTCTGTGTTTTCATTTATGAAGTGGAGCTGGGTGGATGAGTGGTGGTGGATGCTCCCCGCCGCCCCTGCCCCATATCATGGCTTGTTCTGACCTGCCTTGGGTTTCCTCAGGCTGGGATCCACACATACCCCTCCTCTTTAGGTTTTGGTGAGGAGTTTTTTTCCCCTTTCCTGATGGTTGTTTTCTTTCCTCGGTTTCTTGTGCATTGCATGTCTGTGCTTTCTTTTCTCAGGGTATAGATTTAATCTATGTTAATTAGCTTTGCTAAGTATAGTAAGCTGGGCTGAAGGGAGCTCAGCTAAAATGGACTGTGTGGCAGCTGGGACAAGCTAACCAAGGCTGCTAGTGGATGGGGAGTGGCTTTTTGCACTTCCTAACTCTTTTGCTGAGTATGGGCACCTCAAAAAGGAGAGGCTCAGAGCCAAGTAACTGAACCTCTCCATGCCTGCAGCTGCTCTGCAAGTCAAACAGCTTCTCAGCTTAGCCTGTCGGGTCTGTGGTCTCAGTGTCCCCAACCCCATTTTGTTTCAATACCCACAGAAATACTGTAATACTGTAGGTCCTTATGCTTTTTGTGTGTGTGTGTGTGTTACTGGGGCTTGAACTCAGGGCATACACCTTGAGGCACTCCAACAGCCTTTTTTTTTTTTTTTTTTTTTTTTCTCCTTTGGCCGAAGGATTTTTTTTGAGATAGGGTCTCCTCAAACTTTTTGCGCAGGACGGCTTCAAACTTGTGATCCTCCTGATCTCTGCTCCTGAGTAGCTAGGATTACAGGTGTGAGCCACTGTTTCCCAGCTAGACATTAAATTTTTTTTTAAGTTTAGGAACACCTAACACAAAAAGGGCTGGTGAGTGGCTCAGGTGTAGGCCTTAAGTTCAAGCCCTGGTCCTGCGCAAAAAAATTTTTTAAGTGTTTTTTTTTTTTTTTTTTTTTTAATAACGTTTTCATTATATAGTAGCTCTACAGGGGTTTTTGTTGTGACATTCCTTATATGCGTACAGTGTACCCCAGTTTGGTTCATCCCCCCGGTATTCTTCCTCTTTCCCCTCCCCTTTAAACTTTTGAAGGGAGTTATGTGTACTTTTCTCACTAAGTAATCTTTTTATAATTTTTCAGACTAAGAATGCCAACATACTAGGATTCTGCTGGACCAGTTCTACTGAAATCGTCTTTATAACAGATCAAGGAATCGAAATTCTACAGGTATTACACTTACCACTTACGTTTACTAGTGAAAGCAAAGGCAACTTAGCAGCCATTTGAATTCAGCACTAGAGATATTTTGAGCTTTTTAGAGGTGTAGTCTCTTGCTTGAGTTTTATTTTTTCTAAATTACAAGTAAGTCACTTCTTTAAAATATTCAAACATTGACCTATGGAAAATAAAAGTCCCCAGAATCTCTGTAATAACTGTTGTAAGCAGTTTGGTATATAGTCCTCCTTTTTTTTTCTTTTTTTTACCATATACAAACTTTTTTTTTACAGAAAAGGTGATTATTGTATAATGAATTTATGCAGCTGAATTTTTTGGCATAATAATATATCTTGGCTATCTTCCCTCATATTTTTATTCTGATTGAATGTATTATGCTGATGTAGATGTACCTCATTTATTTTACCAGTTCCCTGTTGATGACTATCTGGCTTGACTTCACTTTTTTCGATTACAAACAGTCCCTTAGTGAACATGCTTATCCACATTTATATTCTCCGGCGAGGCGGTTCTTGAAACTACAGCCTAGTTGTGAACAGATACCATTACATTTCTTCCACAAGTTTCCACTCAGTAGCAATGTAGGAAGCTGAATTTTCCACACCTTTGCCAGAATTAGATATTCTTAATCTACAGACATTTGTCAATCTGAGAGGTAGAAAGACAATATGTCTCTTCTACTTTTTCATAGGGCTCTTGTCCATTTGTATTTCATTTGTGGGGACTGCTTCAGTTTGTTTTCTGTTTTTTTTGTGTGTGTGTGTGTTTGTATGTTATTGGCGTTTGAACTCAGGGCTTCACGCTTGCTAGGCAGGTGCTCTGCCACTTGAGTCACTCTACCAGCCCTTGCTTCAATTTTTTTATTGTGGTAGAAAACATATAACATGAAAGCTAGCATCTTAACCCTTACTAAGTATACAGTCCATAGTATTAAACATACTCATTCCTGTTGTTGTGAAATGTATCCAGAACTCTTTGATTTTGCAGTGTAAGATTAGCACCTCCCTTTACACCCAGATCCTGGCAACCACTGTTCCACTTTCTATTTCTGTTAAGGTTGACTGTTTCAGATAACCTCAAATAAGTGGCATTAGCAGAGTACTTGTCTTTTTGTGATTGGTCTATTTTCACTTAGCGTACTGTCCTCAAGATTCTTCCACCTTGTCACTTATGACAGGATTTCCTTGTTTGGGCTGAATAACTTTCCGTTGTGTGTATATATATGTTTGCTTACTCACTCATCTGTTGATAGGCATTTGATTGTGTCTGTCTCCTTGCTCTGTGAATAATGCTGCTCGAAACATGGGTCTGCAAATATCTCTTCAAGAAGTGGGATGGCTGGGTCTTACTGTAGTTCCTTTTTTTTTTTTTTTTTTTTGAGATATGGTCTCACTATGTAGCCCATGCTGGCCTCAAAACTTCCTGTGGAGCCCAGGCTGGCCTCAAATTGAGATCCTCCTGCCTCAGCCTTCCAGGTACTGGATTGCAGGTGTGGTCCACCATGCCTAGTGGTAGTTACTTCATATTTTTTCTAGGTTCTTTTTTTGTTCTTCAGGGTGCTAGGGATCAACCCAGGGATTACATCTGCTAAGCAGCATTCTACCACTGAGCTACATCCCAGTGTTGAGCATTGTTTGTGTGCCATTGGCCACTCGTGTATCATCTTTGGAGAAATTGCTATTAAATTCTTTTTTGCCTATTTTTAAGTTGATTATTAACCTTTTTGTTGAGTTGTAGGAGTTCTTTATTCTGGAAATGAACCTCTTATCTAATATATGATTTGCAGTTATTTGTTCACACTCTGTAGGTTATCTTTTCACTTTGTTCATTTTGTTCTTTGATGTACCTGCCTGTTCATCTTTTCCATCTTTTTTTTTTTTTTGTAGTACTGGGGTTTGAACTCAGGGCCTACACCTTGAGCCACTCCACCAGCCCTGTTTTGTGATAGGTTTTTTCGAGATAGGGTCTCACAAACTATTTGCCTGGGCTGGCTTCCAACTTCGATCCTCCTGATCTCTGCCTCTGAGTAGCTAGGATTACAGGTGTGAGCCACTGGTGCCCAGTCTGTTCATCTTTTAATATGTTCTGCCTGCCTGACCTACTGAGCCTGTGTGTGAGATCTCTAAGTAGAGCCAGTGTAGAGGGTGTTAGGTTCTTTCAGGTTTTAATTGTAATTCCAGAATTTTTTTTTTTTCTTTTTGGTGGGACTTGGGTTTGAACTCTTAGCTTTTTGCTTGCAAAGCATACACTCTACTCAGTCCAGGTTTTACTTTTATTGATCTAATGTAAGTAGTATGATTTAAAATTGATGGAGAAAACATACCTGTATAAGTGAAATGTGAGATGCTATACCATGATGCTTTGCACAGGGCTGTCATCAAAATCTTTATAACAGCCAGCAGAGAAGAACACTTAAAAGAAACTTTAAATCTGATTCAGAGATTCACACGTGTATGAAGTATGAAATATGCTAGCATGAAAAGGATGACTGACTTTACAGAGTGGTTCCCTGTGGTAATAATTTAAAAGTCTGTCCTCTGCAGTGGGAACATGTACATTATATTTACCTAGGTGGTCTTCAGGTCCTCCAGAAATGGGTTCAAAAGAAAGAGGACTCCATTGCATCCTTACTTCATCTTACTCGGATTATGAGGAGACTCGTGCCTCCTGGCTTTGGTCTCCCTGATGGTTCTTGGTACAGTGCTCCATGAACTTTAAAGTATTCCTTAATGTGTCAGAATATGTAGAGTATATTTAAAATGTGCCTTGATTCTACACATGTACTTGAGTCTGAACAAGGGAGCCCCTCCAAAGAAGCCCATCTCAGCCTACTGAGGTGGAAATGGAGACCAGGCAGAGGCAGATCTGCTGCATGCTGGGAGGTGGCTGGCCCTAGGGAGTTCCGTTTATTTTGAACATTTACCTAATAAATGAGAACTTTGTAGTTTCTTGCTCTTGGGTGCATGGTACTTCAGACATGGACTTTGTAGTGAACAGCCTTCTAGATTGTAATTATTCTGTTCAGTTGCTCCCTAGTCTCTTTGAGCCTGATTCTCTCATTTGTTAAGTAGGGCTAATGGATGCCCACCTCTTGGGGCTGCTGTGAAGAGAAAATGAGTTCAGATATGAAAGCTGTAAGCATAGGGCTATGTAAGTAGCCGCTATAGTAAATGCAAATAACAATTCCCTCTTTAGGCAGTGGGCTTTTTATCTCATGTACTTGGTGTACTGTAACAGTCTTCTGACATTTTGCTGCTTTTGAAATGAAGATTGTGTTTGTTGAACTTTGCCTCAGGTATCACCTGAGAAAAGGAGCCTGAAACTCCTGAGGAGCCATAACATCAACGTGAACTGGTACCTGTACTGTCCCGAGAGCACTGTGATTCTGCTGTCCACCACGGTCCTTGAAAATGTTCTGCAGCCTTTTTATTTTAGGGTAAGGGTTAGCCCCCGCTTGACAAAACTCCTTTTCCTCTCCTGTCCGGTGCTCACACCTTAATGGGTCACGCCCTTGAAAAGGGCAGGTTCCTCAACACGAACCTCACCATTCTGACCACTAGAGGGCATATTGCACTGCAGTGTCCCGCACCCCAAGAGTGATTCCTTCTCTGGAGACACCATCTGTAGAATAGCATGTAGTTGGAAGGGGCCCAAAGATAGCATACGTATCTGTTCACTGATTTAATGCAGGGAAGGCTGGACCATGGAAGAAGTTTAATAAACTCTCCTACAATTTCCCCCCAATAGGCAGGCACTATGTCGAAGCTGCCCAAGTTTGAGATTGAATTACCAGCTGCACCGAAGTCAACTAAACCTAGCCTTTCTGAACGGGACATCGCCATGGCGACCATGTATGACCATCCTTGAGAGGCTTCTTTCTTATAGTTGCTTTTACTGACATAGGCGGTAGGAGTGTGTTATGAGCCTCAGCAAAAGAACCCTTAGAAAACTTCCCTTTCTTCTGTTTCATATGTAGATTTAATAAATATAGAACCATGGGATCTTTCAGCACAATTTTTTTTTTTTTGGTAGTACTGGAGTTTGAACCGAGGGCTTTGCGCTTGCTAGGCAGGCTCTGTAAGACTTCAGCCATGTTTCCAGCCCTTTTTGCTATGATTATTTTGAAGATAATGTCTTGCTTTCTGCCCAGGCTGGCCTGGACCACAATTCGCCTATTTTAGGCTTCCCACCTTTACTAGGATGACAGGTGGAGTGCCACCACTCCCAGCTTTTTTCCATAGAGATGGGGTCTCCAAAGTTTTTTTTGTTTTTGCAGCTGTCATCCTTTCTCAGCCTCCCGTGTAGCTTGGGATGACAGGCACATGCCATCACATGAGGTGTGGTCTCTTAAACTTTTTGCTCATGCTGGCTTTGGACTGCAATCCTCCTGATCTCAGCCTCCCAAGTAGCTAGGATTATAGGCATGAGCCACTGGTCCTCAGCAAGGATAACCAATAATAATGTATTTCTGATGTTTTTGGACTCTGCTTATTCTTTCCAAAGGCTGTGACCCAACTGGATGTAGTGTTGTAGTCTCAGGTTTTCTCCACTTGGGTTTATAATAGGCCTTGTATAATTAACCTCAGTTTCTTTGTAAACATCTTTGTTGGCTGCAGAGTAGTCCTTTAAGTGAATTCTCATAATTTATATAACTGGCGTTATGATTCAGCATTTAGAAGGGAGGAATTTTAAATGGCCAAAAGTGACTTATCTCTCTCTATCCTCTGGGTAGATACGGGCAGCTTTATGTTCTCTTCCTGAGACATCATTCTCGGACTTCCAACAGTACAGGAGCGGAGGTGGTCTTGTATCATCTACCACGGTATGTTTCATGCTTTTAAAGTATGGACTAAAGCCTGTCTATCTACTTTTTAATCTTTCTTTTATTTTACAGAGAGGGCCCGTGTAAAAAGATGCACATACTGAAGTTAAACAGGACGGGAAAGTTTGCCCTAAATGTGGTAGACAACTTGGTAGTGGTCCATCATCAGGACACAGAGGTACAAGCTGTGCGGGAGATCTGATCTGTGTACGTGGCAGGCTTGCTTAACAGCCTTGTGAAGATTGGAAGAACTTTTTGAACAAGGACTTGAAAGAGGCCTCTATGCTCAAAGTTTTGGTCTTCCAGGTGTAAATGTTTTAGAAAAAAGTGATTCCCTTATAGTTGGTTACAGATAATTACAATCTGTTTCAGAAAATAACACAAGGTTCAACCTTTGAAATAGTTATTTGTTTAAGCCAGCGGAGTCTACAGCAGTACTGTGGTGTGGCTTTTGCCTGGGTCTGTGACCTCTGTGCTCTGTGAGTGGGCATGAAGGGCAGTGCCTGACAATCATGGTTTGAGGCTGTGGGGCCCATGAGGTCTGAAATGGGTCCTGCTTTTCCTAGGCCATTAATGGGACATCTAGTAGTTAAAAAAAAAAAAAAAAAAAGCCACTTTCCTCCCCTCCCTTCCCAGAGGGTGGTGATGTCATATCTCTGACTAATGAAAGTGTTTCAATTAAAGTGAAAAGATCTGCTTAAATCACATCCAATCTTCAAAAGAAGCATGCTGGAAGTGTGGGGAGTATTTGTGAAAGGAGATAAAAATGGAAGAGAGAAGCGATGTTGATGGAAAATTCCTCCATGAATGAAAACCGGCCAGTAGGGATGGAATGCAAACACAGATTTTGAAACTGAACTGGAATGGTGAGGTGCAGCGTGATGTTTTTTTCTCTCCTGTAGACATCGGTAATATTTGACATCAAGCTCCGGGGAGAGTTTGATGGCACCGTGACCTTCCACCACCCAGTGCTTCCAGCCCGATCCATTCAGCCCTATCAGATCCCCATGGCAGGTAATGTGGACTTCGTGGAGGGGCTGTGCTGTTGTGGGACACATTCAAAATGAGATGAGCAATGCACAGGATGCCCAGATCTGTTTGACTTTTGAGAGGGCATTTATTCCTTTTTTTTACATTTTTAGCAATATGGGGTTTGAACTCAGGGTCTTCTGCTTGCCAGGCAAGCACTCTACAAGCACTTCATCCTCACCTCCAACCCTTTTTGCTTTAATATTTTTCAGATAGGGTCTTGTGTGCTTTTTTTGCCAGAGGCTGTCCTTGGATTGTGATCATTTTACCTCACACCTAGCTGAATTATAGGCATGCACTACCACACCCAGCCCTATTTTTTTTTTTTTTTTGTCTGTGTGTGAGTGGTGGGATGGAACCCAGGACCTCACTTATGCTAGGCAAGTACTTTACCACTGAGTTACATCCCAAGCCAATTTGTTCTGGTTTAAAAAAAAAAATACCAATGCCTCTGATTCTATGAGATAAAATTGTGTTGTGGAAAGCATTTTATAAGATAAATGAATCTTCCTTTGACAAAAATAGAATGTTTCTCTTCCTTAACTTTATAGTGGAGAGTTGTGATTAAATATGGAAGCTGAAAAATTTTTAATGTTGAACCTGTAACAGATTGTTTGCCTCAGCTCTGTAACCCTGAAATTAAATGTGGTTGTGGCTATTATTTTAACCTGGGGTTACTTTTCCCTTTCATTTTCCCATTCTGTGTTGTAGTTAAATACTGCTGGTGGTATCAGTAAGAACTATGGCTGTGCTTCTTAGGTTTATTACAGATCCGCGTTCTTTCTGCTGGAAGAAGTAGGGGAGGAAGTCCAAAGAGAGGATGTCAGGATTTCAGAAAAGAGGAAAGAAACCATTCAGCTCACTTTGCTTGTTCCCAGTGTAAATCCACTTTAAGATAGAGCTCAAACAATATTCCACTTTCTTGATTTTAAAGGAGGTTGGAGTGCACAGTTAGCTAGATGGAATCTTCCTGTGAATCCGTCAGATGCTCACATTTGGAACTCTGGTAGCCGCATTTTGTTCCTAAGGGAAACACCTGTCAGATGGCACCCTGGGGGGGTGGTTGTTCCAGCTTGTGCTCAGGAATTCTGCCTTTCACAGGTAGATTGAGAATGGGCTCTAGGTGAAGGTTCAGCAAGAATACCACCTCCAGGCAGCCTTCCCTGTCTTGCTGGGTCAGCCAGAAACTTAATTGCTTCCTGGCATAGTGGGAAGGAGTTGCTGTTTCTCACAGATGTTTGATTGGGTTTTTCTGCCTTCTGGGTTTTTCTGTTCTTTCTGGCATCTCCCTTTTCTTTGGATAATAATGTTAGCATTAAAAGAATAGGTTATGTAAGCTGAGTGTGGTGTTTCATGCTTATAATCCCAACACTTGGGATGTGGAGGCAGAAAGATCTTGAGTTGAGGTCAGCCTTGGCCTTTTTTGAGACCTTGTTTCAAAAAAGCCAAATATGTCTGCTGTCCACTTGGCATGCAAGTGACTGCTGGGGAGCTGGGAGGAACCATTGTAAACATTGAAAGCCTTCAGCTCTGACCAATTGCAAAGGACCAATTAAGAGGCAATTGGGAGCTGGGCATGGTGGTATATAGCTATAATTCCAGCTACTTGGGGGGTGGAGGCAGGAGGATCTTAGTTTGTGGCCACTCCTATGAAAGGTAGCGATGAGACCATAGCTAAAAAAGCGGGGTGGGGCTGGGGGTGTAGTTCAAGTACATAGTGCACTTGCCTAGCAAGGCCCTCCGTTTAGGGCTCTAGGGAGCAAGGGCAGGTGAGTGTTATGGGATTAACTGCCTTTTCATATCCCGGGGATGTGAGCCCCAGGCAGACTTCATGTGCTGCCATCGGGTGGTGCTGTGAGGGAACTGAAAGGGCAGTTTTGAAAATGTGGATGGTAATCTGGGGAAGTCAGCTCCCCTTTTTCCTTCTGGTTTGGCCAATTAGACCAGTGGTTCTCAGTTTGTCTGCATGTTAGGAAAGCTACCAGGCTCTCGGGCATGTGGGTTGGCGCTATGTCAGCTGTGGTGTTGAGGCTGTTGGCTCAATGCAGACCTTCACTGTTGGGTCCAGTGTGTAAGTGCTCTGTGCTGAAGCTTGCCTGTGGGCCTGTTCCCTGCATTTGGGTGGGTGGTCTGTTCAAAATGGCCTTTTCTGACCAGCTGATTAATGCTGCTCTCTGATTGTACCAGGGTAATTGGAACATAACTGGAAACCCTGTTCAGCTAGTAGGACCACCCAAATGACACACAAGTGGTGTAACTGGTCATTATGGGTCCTTGTCATGTAAGGTTGGGTGTGCTCCCTTCCAGATGCACTCTCCATGCCTGGACCTACTCTGCTGTGAATAATTGAGCTAATCTTTTAGATAACTGAGCCACAAACCATTTTATTCAAACATTCACAGTGAATCTTGGTGTTTAGTTTTGGATCATCCAGGTCAGTTTCTCAATGCTTTAATGTACATGTATAAATGGTGATGATTCATTTTGTTTATCAAAAAAGAAAAGCCCACTGTGAGTGAAGTCTTAATATGCTTTCCCCTCCTTGTGGAGACATTTTCATGGATTGCTTTGGACTCACTCCCACCCCTTCCTCCCCATGTATGCTGTCAGTGAGACAGTATGGCTCACTTCTTTACTTAAGTATAAGCAAATAAACATCTTCTAATAACATTAAAATGTGTGGCCTTTTGCATCCTAAGTGCTAGTAACAGTATTTCCAGCCTTTTCTGACTGTTGTGTCACACTTCTTTTCTCAATTTGTAGGTCCTGCTGCTGTGACCAGCCAGTCTCCTGTTCCGTGTAAACTCTGTATCCTTCACAAAGGCTTGGCACTGTGCACATAGGGAGAGTCGTCATCCTTTCTTCACAGACTGGTCCAGCAGCATCCCCACACTTCTCCTCCCCACCCACTGCGACTCCTACTCAGCTCTGGACAAGGCCCAGAGAGCCACCCCTGGGGAGCTCTCCTGATCTTTTATGACTCATTTGGTGGCCTCAACACATGGGGGTGGGCTTGAAACTGAGCTTGCCTTTTATTTTTATTTCTTCCTGATTTAGAGTTTCCTATAACATGTAGATTCTTCTTCCTGGATTGTCTTTCAACCTGACATCATCATCAGTGCAAGCCAAGGTAGGTCTGAGGGATGACCTGCACGTTAGAGGGAGACAGCTCGTTGACTTTATGTTGCACTTGTAGCAGTGATGGTGTCTATGTGAATCTCTGAGATGGCCTCTCCCCTCAGCCTTGGGGTTGGGTTTGCTTTTCACTTTAAACTCTGCTTCCTACTGTGTGCCATTTTATCGTGAGTCTGTGCTTTTTTTTATAATTAAAGCAACAACTAAGATGGCCATTCCCTGCTATAAACTCATTCTGAAAAGCCAGACTCCATGAGGGGCAGCCATTCTTGTCCCCCTCCCACCATTCCCACATGTACCTGTGCCCATTTCTGTTCTGTGTGCACAGGAAGCCTGCTTCCTTCCTTGCCTTGCTGGTAAAGCCTCCTCAGTCTGATTCTCATCTCTTCCTGGCTAATCCCCTGGAGTCTTTTTCTGTTAGAGAACTTTCCACATTGATATTTAGTCAGCCCTGTATTTTCCTGTCTTTTCCTCTGGGATTCTCAAGGAAAGAGCCCTAAGGCCAAAGGCATCCACTGTATGTAATGAACTCAGGTCTCTCCTGTGTATTTGGAAATGTTCCTGCCCTGTACATACCCAGGCAGAGTTGAGAGAGTGGCTGCTCTGATCATTTTTGACATAGTTCTTCATTCTCCAACAGAGCCCCAGTTGAGAAAGTGAGGTGTTCAGCACATGCGTGGGTTGACAAGTAGATGGATTATGAAATTCCATGGACAGCCTGTGGAGTGAGAGCAGGAGAAACCAAGTACAGGACTGACGTTGATGCCATATGTTAACCTTTTTTTTCTATTTGGAAAAATCGGAAAGGGACTGGGTACCTCCATTTGGAATGGAGGACCCATTACCCTCTGTATGCAGGAAGATATGCCCTTGGTGTGCCCGTGAACACGGCTTACTTGTGTGCAATTTGCCAGGTGTGCAGAAATAGTGTGGTTGTCAGTCCTGTTGTCAGACATGTTCTCAGCTATCCTGGCTTTGTGTTGGTTAGGAAGAAAGGGACATCAACTAAACTTTCATTACACCCCCTCCCCCATGGATGTTTAGGGGAACCACTTGGACTTTTTTTCTGGTTTGTACCTTATTGTATCATTCAGTATGCTGCCTGTTCAAATCCAGGTTACCTCTGGAACCTCCAGGTGAAACTTCAGCCCATAGTAAATCTCTTGCCAGATAAAGGAAGGCTGATGGACTTTCTTCTCCAGAGGAAGGAGTGCAAGATGGTCATCCTGTCTGTCTGTTCACAGAGTACGTTGATTCCTTCTCCGCGTTTCTGGTTCTGATGTTAGGACTTTGGTGCCTGCCACCACCTTTTATAGGGAGCTGGCCGCATTATTTATTTGAAAGGTGGCTTATTTAATCCCTGGAAAGACTGCAAAATATAAAAATGGCTTACAGTAAAGGGTTTTTCCAGATAAAAGCAGACTTAAATGTGGGTTGGGCCCCCATCCTACCTTTAAAACAAATGTATTTCAGAATCCAAGTAATGAACTGCACATATTGATACTTTAAGAATCTCAAACTGAGCCAGGTGAGGTGACAGACACCTGTAGTACCAGCTACCCTGGAGGCTGAACTGGAAGGATTGCTTAATCCCAGGAGTTCAGGACCAGTGTGGGCAGCATAGTGGGGTCCTGTCTCAAAAAACAACTTCTTCCCCACCCCTAAAAAAATGCAGAATCTCCTGATATCTACCATAGCTATCTTTCCTTAGTCACTAGAAAGGGATTAAAAGTGATGTTTAGGTGTCAGGTCCCTAAAATATAACATTTCTTCCTTTGCCCTTTAAGGGAATATTTACACTGGTTACCCTTTGAGGTGACCATCAGCAATATGCTGAGGCTCCTGAGTTTACACAGTGGGTTTATCTGTGTGCACATTGTATCCTTTACAGTGCTCAGGGAGTCAGACAGAGCCACACTGCCTGTGATAGCCACCGTTTTTGATAAACTCAACCAGGAGTATAAAAAGTACTTGGATGCCGAGCAGAGTTATACAATGGTAAGTCAGATGGACTATGGCAAAGGCTCCTGTCACCTGTAGTGCAGGATTATGGTAGCACTAAGATTTAGGTCTTGCAGCAAAGGGCAAGGTGCATCCAGAGTTCCTGCACCCACTGGCTTGGGCTTTTGTCTCACTTAGTGCCCTCCTCACTTTGCTATGTCTTTTAAATCTGTGTTTGATGTTATACTTTCATCCTTGGTCTACCTCTATTTTATAAATAAGAAAATCAGTTCTTCCTTTGCATTTTTTTATATACTGCCAGAGCCTGGACTTAGCTAATTAGAAATATAACTTCCAAAGCCAGGCTTGGTGGCTCATGCCTGTAATCTCAACTGTGTCGGAGGGGGAGATTGGGAGGATCACCGTTCAAGGCCAGCTTGGGCAAAAACTTAGCAAGACTCCCATGATTGTAAGTCAGGCATGGTGGCATGTCCCTGTGATCCCAGCTGTCGGGGAGACCATAGGTAGGTCTGAGGTCAGCCCTGGGCAAAGAGTGAGACCCTATCTGAAAAATAACTAAAGCAAAAAAAAAAAAAAAGAGGCAGTGCCTCAAGCAGTAGAGTACCTGCCTAGCAGGCATGAGGTTCTGAATGTAAACCTCTGTACTGCCCCCACCCCCAAATTTCAGTTATTTGCCTCACCTTTTCTTTTACTTTATAAAAATAAGACTGATCCTAGAATTCAGCCAGAATCCTCCATGAGGCAGTGATGCTTAAATATTAGCACCGTGCTTTTCACGTAGCAGGCATCAAACATTTGTAGTGAAAGGCTGGAAAAAAATGAATGTGGTACAGGTACCGTGCTTTAGTACGTCATATTTTCTGAAGCTAGGAAGAAAAGTTAGGAAAAGTAGGAGAAATTATTTCACTTCAAGGACCTGGTTAGTCCTGAGGCAAACAGTGGATGTGGTTTTAAACAACAAACCCAGAACTCCACTCTGCTTTGGCTATTTAAGGACAATAGGTCTAAAGCAGATTGCTGGAAGGAGGCTGGCTGCACAGATCATCTGTCCTGCCCTATCTGCCACAAAGGACAGCTGAGCCTTCCAGGCCCCTCTCTTGGTTCCACTGTTGGTGTCCTAGGCCATGGACAGTAGGACTGACCCTTGTAGCACATTCTGGGCTTTTCTGCACTGTCGTCATCAGGCTTCCTAAACCTTTAGCACTAAAGTGTGACCCACTCACCAGGGATGCAAGCAGCACCCAAAACTGTAGAAATGCAGGGCCTGCCCTGTATCCTACAGCTACTGCAGAATCCACATGGCACTACTTTGAAAAGTGAGGCCAAACAACTCTCCTGTTTAGTCATATTTGGAGAGCGCTGGCTTACCACTTAAAAATCCTGATACACTGGACTCATGTGTAGTGTAGCTCAGTGGAGAAGTACTTGCCTAACATGTGCGAGGCCCTGGGTTCCATCCAAGCCAATAAAATAAATAATAAAACTCCTGACATAGTCTTGGCAAGAGCTTCTCATTTATTGTTGGCCACAGCTTCATCAAACAAGGGCACAATAGCCATTTCATTTTTATTAGGTATCGAATGCCACATCATTCAGGATTAAGAAAATTAGGGGAGTTAAAACTCTTCAGAGGTTAGAAAAGATGAGACATATCTGAAAACTGACTTGGGTTTATTTAATCCCACTTCCATGAGCCCTGGAGTATTTTTCAGAGGACAGCTCTGCCCTGCTGCACTCCTCCCAGCCAGCATGGGAGACACTTTCATCTAAGTAGTGAAGTAACTCTTCTTTCATATGTTAGGTTCACAGCTAGGAACTCAGTCTTAATGGACTAACTGTAGTTGGCACCACTTATCTAAAAAAATGGATGAGATTGGAATTCATGATTTATTATTTCAGGCAGTAGAAGCAGGGCAAAGCCGGAGCAACCCACCCCTCAAAAGACCTGTGCGAACCCAAGCCGTGGTGGACCAGTCAGATGTGTACACCCATGTGCTGTCGGCCTTCACGGAAAACAAGGTGCACTACAGCTTTCCAGCATCCTCTGGACTGAGAGTTCTGCAAACGAGGGCTGTGGGGCAGTAGCAGAACTCACAGTGCAGTGAGACTGACTGGAGTGGTTGCAGGGGAGGCCTGGAGGCCTGGTGCTGGCAGGTTGACTTCTAGTGTGCTGACTCAGATGCCACCGATGCGTGTGGTTCTGGGAGATCTGTGCAATGCCAGTAAAACAGAACCCTAGGCCACTCTACCACAGGAACAGCATGGGTGGGGATAAATGAGTGACCGGTATAGCTCCCTTGGCACCTGAGATTCACAAAACCCTTTGTCTCTCTGTAGGAGACGCCACATAAATTTGTGGTGGCCGTGCTGATGGAATACATTCGCTCTCTGAACCAGTTTCAGATCACAGTACAGGTACTTTCCAGTGGGCACCTGTCACCCTAAGTTAGAGGAGTCGGCCTACAGGTAGAAAGGTGACTCTTCTGATGTTAGAATTCAATGACTTTTTTTTTTTTTTTTAACATTCTACACTGGTTTTAGTTGGAATGAAAACATTTCTTGTGACATGGAAACTTGCTGGGGTTAGAGAGCTGCAGTCCTCAGGCAGCCTCTGGGCTGTCATGGCTGAGCAATTTGGCAATGTCTTGTCATTGCTTTTTTCCTCCCCAGCACTATTTACATGAACTTGTCATCAAGACACTTGTCCAGCACAACCTCTTTTACACGCTCCACCAGTTCCTACAGTATCATGTGCTCAGTGACTCCAAGCCTTTGGTGCGTATCATCAGTTTTACTTTAGTTGTGGTTAAAAACCGCAAATGGTAATCTTCCCACTGAAGCTAGTCTGCAACTGTCTTTCAGGCTTGTCTGCTGCTGTCCCTAGAGAGTTTCTATCCTCCTGCCCATCAGTTGTCTCTGGATATGCTGAAGGTAACGCTGGTCATCACAGCCTTGGGTGACATGAAGTTCCCTTCCTCTTGCTTAGCCTGACCTGCCTTTCTGTCTCCCTTACTTACAGCGACTTTCAACGGCAAATGATGAGATTGTAGAAGTTCTTCTGTCCAAACACCAGGTGTTAGCTGCCCTAAGGTTTATCCGGGGTATTGGTGGCCATGACAACATTTCTGCACGCAAGTTTTTAGATGCTGCAAAGCAGACTGAAGACAACATGCTTTTCTACACTATATTCCGTTTTTTTGAACAGCGTAACCAGCGTTTGCGAGGGAATCCTCATTTCACGCCAGGTAAATGTAGTAGCCATGGGAAGACATGCCACTTTCAAATGAGCAGCCTGAGTGAAGCTGGACTCAGTGAGTGAAGGAGGACTCCTCAGTTAGCTTTTCCTTAAGCAACAAGAGTTCCTAACAGCCAGCCAGTCTTCAGCCCCTGGTGTGTAACTGATGAAATCTGAGCACACAGCAGACCTGTTTAGGGTGGACACATTCAGGACCCAATTCAGGCAGTCTAGACACAGCCATATGTGACAGCTAATCAGACTCTGTCTTTGGAAGGAACAGGAAAGCACAAGTGATGAAGAGTTTACATGGCTTACTAAAGTAATGCTTCAATGTGGGGTAGGAAACAGGCTAATCACTCATCTGTAAATACTCTTGAGATCTAAGACTCTTTAGGATGGGGAATGAAAAGAACTCAAGTTACATTTGTTAGATTGGATTCTCAGGTCTACCAACTTCTAGCTTAATTAGTATATAGTGCAAGATGGCTTTCAGTGACAATGACAGGTTAGAATCTCTTCATTTATTCTGCTTGCTTAGCATATAGCTATTTGCTAGGGGTTGGGAAAGTACCAGTTCTGCACTAGAAAGGGCAACCCCAAAATGTAGGAAAACAAGATAAATGAGTTAAACCAGCATGCAACCTATGAGCTGCATTGCCTTTTTCTTTCTTTCCCTGCCATATCTAACTGGCGATTAAATCTATTCTTTCATAGGAGAGCACTGTGAAGAACATGTTGCTTTTTTCAAACAGGTTTTTGGAGATCAAGCTCTAATGAGGCCTACAACATTCTGAAATCACTTCCTAGGCTTTTTTATATAAAAATGTGTACAAAGTTAATTTATTGCATTAATAAAGCTCTTTAAACTACAAAATGTTATAATAAAGTTTCTATAACACCCACAAGTGTTACTAAAAATATGGTATAGAACGTGTGTGTTGGCTTCCTCCCAAGAAAAACAGGAGGCAGCCTGGATTGGCCTATGAAAACATCAGTGAGCAGCCATCCGATGTGTCCTTCCTCTTGCCCAAGATCCCAGGGGGAGGCTTTAGTGTCCTGCGGTCACCTTCAGATGCCATAATACTGCTTCACAAGTCAAGTGTGCATTCCTGAGTTTAAAAACATTCAGAGCTGCTGCTGAGATGCAGCCTGATGTCGGAGCATCCAGCGTTCAGCTCAGCCTTGACAGTGTAGCCACTGTCCAGTGGTAAACTGACCCATCCTAGACACAGTTCAAAGTCACCAAACCCTGTAAGAGGGCTAGAAATTTAGGAGTCGTTCTCGCTCTGTGCCTTTGTATCGATCTCGAGTGGCATGTCTTTTAGCTTTATTTACCGATGGTCCTATGAGAGAGAGAGAGGATAATTGTTACTCTTCAGGAGAAAAGTATAAAGTGTCTCCTTGAGTCAGAAAAAAAGTAATTTTCTTGATCTATTTTAATGCTTCACCTTACTTAAAAAGCTGTAAGGCAAATTAGTACAGCGTGTGTATGTCACTAGTACTTGGCATTAAACAGAAGTTCTTCTGACCTCTGCCTCACAAGTGGCTGGGATTACAGAGAACTATGATGCCAAGCCACAAATTCGTACTGTTCCCTTTTCAACCAGGGGTCATATGCACAAGGCAGAGTAGCCACAGAAGTACAAAGATATTAAGGGTGAACAGCAGAGGCAGTGTTCCGCTAAGAACTGTCAATCAGGGAAGTGAGTTCTGCAGCCTTGCTGGGTTGTTGCCTGGCTCTGCTCTTTCATCTCTCAGGAGCAGCAGGAGTCCTGGGGCCTGCTGACATTCAAATTGGCTTAAGAGCTCATGTCAGGTTTTTGTTAAGCAGACAAAGGAAGCCTCCAGAAAAACATGCTAGGGACTTACCAATGAAGTAGTGTGGATAATCATGAAGTCTTTGGCTAGATATTTTTCTCTTAGACAGTTTTTACTCAGAACTACTTATCAGGTGACTGTTAGTGCAAGTACTATAAAAGAATGCTTCAAGATACAATTCTCTTCGTAATGTATTTCCTCTCATACCTGTTAAAAATAAGAACTCTCACCTATATAACTGAGTAAGACAGGGAGAAATATTAGTCCGTGAGTGGCTCCCAGTAAGACCATGGCTAAATACATCCTGAAGTAAAATATCTGGAAAATTTGAGATTTGGCAAAGGCCAACACCACAATCCCTCCAAATTTTGTAAGTGTGATTCCACTGAATACCTGAAAGAAGAGACAAATGACTCTTGTTAACCTGTGATAGTTAATACACTCTTCAAAGGTATCTGAATATTCAAAGTCCACAGTAAAGTGGGATGGCGCTCAGAGTCACTGAGAGACAGTTGTTTTCTCTGCTGCTTTATGAGCCTGGAGAAAAAAAAATTTAAAGGTATTTTAAGGGCAAAAGCTGTATTTTGCATAGACTAAATGAAGATATATTCTCAGATGAAAATTAAACATTAAAGCTATAAAACAAAGTTTTAGTTACTAGTCTTTTTTTTGTGTGTGTGGTATTGGGGTTTGAACTCATTCAGGGCCTCAAGCTTGCTAGGCCAGAGCTCTACCATCCTTTTATTTTTTTGGAGACAGGGTCTCACTATGTAGCCCAGGCTGGCCTTGAATTGGTGTTTTTCCTGCCTCAGTGTCCCAAGTGCTTGGATTATACGTATGCACCACCATGCATGTCTCTAGTTATTTTTTTTTTTTTGGCAGTATGGGAACTGAACTTAGAGCTTTGCACTTGATGGGCACTCTGCTACTTGAGACATGCTCCCAGCCCTCTGGTTGTTATTCTTTAACAATGTGTTCTAGTGGCAAAGTAAATGATGGGCTACCTAGGATGTAGGGTTGGACTAAGCACCTCCATACATCAACTACAGATTGCACGCTGGGTCCCAGGACACAGTAGCATCCTTGCTTGTCACCACAGAGTGCTGGCTTCCAGCTCTTTCAAATCTAACTTCTCTTCATTTTCCTCCATGAGCTATCCCACCTAAACAGGAGTCGCATAAACAGGTACAGTTCTGAAGAATTTCAGGCCTGTGTGAGGGGTAGCTATTTCATGAATCGTGTGGCAGTTCGGGATCCGTGGGAGCTGGTGACTGAGTAATCCGTTTTCCCCACTGACTTTGTTCTGAGAAGCACTGAGTGGGTGCCCTGCTGGGGATACTCACAGAACTGCCCATGTGAGCCAGCGCCTCTTCTGCGCGGTCCACGCGGCTTCCCTTCGTGCTCACCGTGAATGCTCTTGTTATGTGACTGCAGAACTCCACAGAAATGCCACAGCTCTGAAATAAAGAGTTTCTGTGAGTCACCATGGCTCTTTCCCAGCTGAAAACCCTTAGTGGTCATCCCTTCCCCAAGATGATGGGTACCAGAGTACTGAAGCACCTTACCACACCCCATACAGCCCCTTGGTCTCACAACACGGGGCCCCCACTGCACGCCCAAGTTGAAGCAGGAGACTGTGGAACCCTCTAGGCTCTGCCCAATGCTCTGGTTTTCTGCATTGTGTCTACTTTGGTTAGAGGAGTTGTGGAAACCTCCCAAGGTTCCCCCTGCCCCACTGAGCTGGCACACTTGTCATTCCTTTGCTCAGACCTCACAGCCACTTGAAGTTCAGATGCACAGTGTTACTTCCCACAAACACCTTCTTGAATCACATCTTTAGCACTGTATTAAACAGCATTGGCAACTGTATGGGAGGCCCCACTGGGAGGAGAGGTAAAGCATCACCAGGTTCTGTGCTTTCTCTGTCTCTTCAGAACAGTAAAGGCGGAATATGTTCCCATTACTAGAGCACCATGAACTGCACTATTTACTACAGCTGCAAGCAAAGGAGTTAGAGGAAAATGAACTAAGCCAAAGTTGTTTTTTGAGTCTGGAGGTTTGTGAGTTCAAGGATAGTCTATGTAGGCCAGGCTAGCCTAGAACTCATAATCCTGTCTCAGGCTTCCAAGTGCTGGGATTACAGGAGTGTATGACCTCACCTGGCTCCAGAAATTACTTTTAACTGTTCTGCTCCCAGATGATTGAGAAATGCTCCCCCCATGCCCTGCCCTGACTCCTGTGACACACACCCCACCTCTCCATGTGCATTGACAGCAAGAGACAGCCTTGATATTTTACCTCATTTTAGAGTTTATGTAGAATCCAAGAATCAATCCACGCAAATGACACAGGAGCCAGAGACAAAATGAGAGTGGAGTTGGACTCACCATCACCAAGTTGACCAAGGAAACTGCGTTCAGACTGATGCCCCACAGCCACATAACACCAAACATGTTGACCAGAATCATGGCAATGGTGACACACATGATGACCGCAGACCACAGGTCACAGCCCAGAACCACCATGGTCACCAGAAATATGGATCCCAGGGACACGCCGAGGTTGAAGATGGTGTCATCAATAATGGTCAGGTACTGCTCGTAGAAGACATAGAACACGCTGGGGAGAGGGGGAGTGTCCTGTTACAGCTGGCACTGCCTGCCAGGAGCTGGCCTCCTCCTCCGCCATGCCTGCAAGGCTGTGGACTGCCCTAGAGACCCTGGGGAACGCCTTCCTGGCTGCACGTCTCTGCTAGAGCAGTTCAGTGGGATCTCTGATGGCCATTGACACCTACCGAGGCCTGATAGTGATCCCAAATATACCTTATGTAAAATTGTACAAAACTTTACATAGGATTGCTCTGCTACCTTATAAACACAAAGTATTCCAGAGTATTTTGAGGGATAAAAAAATCCACATCTGTTCTAGAAATTACCCCAGGCCATTTTTCCCCTTCCAGAGAAAAACAGCCCATCATTCCTAAAGCAAGATCATGGTGGCAGTTCGAAAAACATCACTTGTTGGCCAGATGTGATGACACACATCTATAATCCCAGCTACCTGGTAGGTAAAGATCTGGAGGTCTGTAATTTGAGGCTGGCCCTGGGCAAAAAGTGCCAGACCTTATCTGAAAAATAACTGAAGCAAAAAGGTGTGGCTCATGTGGCAGAGCACCTGCCTAGCAAGCACAAGGCCCTGAATTCAAGCCCCAGTACCAGTACCAAAAAAAAAAAAATCACTTATTTCTTCTACCTTTATTTTCCAAATTTCAAACATAATGCTCTTTCCTGACAGGAAAAAACAAAAACCAAGTAACTCCAATAAATGAAAAGTCTACATAAAAACACTGCCCCAAGCAACGAGCTTGTTCCTTTTGTGAGGCATGCGCTAACGCCCCTGTCCTGTGCTACTTCACAATGGGTCTCTTTAGGACTGCGACACAGCACAGATCAAGTTGTGTGTGCAGCAGTCAGACCTTGGCAGGGGCTCAAGATTCTGGCCTGCTTACCAAGTACGCCCTCAGTATACATCCCCTGGGTCAGGAAGGCGCAGGTGTCAGAATCGAAGCTGAGGGTCAGCCTCCAACCAGGACAGCCCCCAAGGGATAGACCCCTGCCCAGGAGACCCTTGTCTGTAACCTCCTGCTTTACCTGTATGGGAACACACGGAAATTACTGCCTTTAGCGCCCATGGTTCCGGTGATGTTACCAGCCACAAGTCGGGCTTTTTTCAAGGCATCAATATAGTCAGCGGAGGTCTGAAGCACGGTGTGGTAGGTCATGAAGTATGTCGCTCCCACGCTGGTGTCATTGCCAAGGATGTTAACTGCTGAACTATACGCAGCATGTCCCCTGTGAAAGAGCGGGTGTCAGAAAGGCCATACCTTGAAAACATGGGCTGCATCTGAGCACTTGAGACCAAGTGAAGTCACCTGACACGGCTCAGAGCCAGACAGACCAAGTTGCATCCTGACAAGGTAACGTGGAAAGTTTGGCTCACTCTCGCCCAGACTGGCTTTTCATTGCTGCTCCAGTTTCTGTGGTGCATGGCGGTTTCTCTGGTGCATGTTGGCTATTGTTTACCTGGCTCTACTTGTAATCAAACATGTTCTGATATGGAATCTACCCAGTGCTGTTGTTGGCAGGGCCTGGACTTGTGTTCAGCCCTGCCACTGACCAGCCATGTGACTCTGGCAGAGTTCCCTCACCTGGGCTTTGGCCATCCCCTCTGTGGGTAGCACAGCACCATACACCCATGCACTGTGTGGCACTAGAAGTATGACCAGCGAGGCCTGCACGACACTGCACACTGGCTGCTCCACTGAAATGGTAGTCACTGCCTCTGTTAAAACTGGACCTATTTCAGTTTGTTTTGTGGAGGCCACAGCACTCCACCTAGAAGCAAATCAAGCTGTGAGACTCATTTCCCTTTTTTTATAGGGCTAGTTCTCCCACAGGACCTAGCATGGGTCTCAAAGCATAAACATGACACACAGAAGTCTGGGAAAACACAGATTCTCATGAAAACCAACTTCATTCAGACTTCACCTCACACACATGCGGGTGCTCATCTTCTACCTACAAAAGCTTCAAATCAACCACAAGACTTCTGGCCATCTTCACTATTTCTAGGCCACAGTTCCCGCTTCCATGGGCAACTGCCTGGCTGGCTGGACAGTGGAGTGAAGCAGCGTATACCCTCATACATGGCCAGGCCAGCAAGGGGCATGGTGGGGCTAACAAACTTCAAACCTCCATTTGTGATACATCACCAAAGCAAAGATGCAGTCTCTGGTGCCCACTTGGCACAGTAGAACAGATCAGGTTCTTTCATATTCTGAACTACCAGCATGTTCATCCTCACATTTACCCCCTTCTCAGAAGACACACGAAAAGCTGCTCCATTCACACATCTAGGAGGCCTAGGAAATGCCGCCCGAGACAGAATGAAATGTGCTGCAAACCAAGAGCCTTTCCTCTACTTTCACAGGATAGAGACCTCTGTCAACCTAGTCCTCTCTTAGTTTTCTAATGCAAATTAAAGCTGAGGCAGACGATAATCCAACATGGCTTGATGGCACTTACCCTTTTCCACACTTGGGGTTAGGATTATCAGAAAGGAACATGGGCAGGAATCTCATGAAGTCTCTGCCCTGTGGCCTCTGTTTGCCCTCTGGAGTCAGAGGCCTGCAGCGGATGCAGGAAGGATCAGCCACTGGCAGAAAGACAGAGTTGGGAGCAAATTGTTAGAAGAACAGGCCCCTAAAAAAATGAGAGAAATTATTTTCCTGAATCTTTCCATTAACTCAAAGCTTCAGCCACCTGTGACTTTCATTGTTCAATAAATTTAATACATAAATAGTTTCATCTTGTGCTAGGGGCATGGCTCAGTGATAGAGCACCTGTCTAGTAACCATGAGGCCTGAGTTCAAATTCCAGTCCTGCCAAAATAAAAGAAAATTTTATCTTAGGCATACCATACATTTCCTTCCCAGAAGAAGGTTTCCTGCTTCTAAGGCTACCTCTACTGGCATCATGGCTTTCATTAAGAAAATTTCAAAACTTTTACCAAGCTGTAGGGCAACAATGATAAACAAAGAAAGCAGGAATCTGAGAAGCCAAGGCCAGGTGCCACTCTTGAGAAAGGCAACCAGTGTGATCTGGACAAGATGAGAAAACTTATTTGGGAACCAGTCCCCTGACATGACCTTGTTTGGCCTGCAGCCCTGAGAGGACAGGAACATGTGACCCATGTTATAAATGAGGAATAGTGACAAATGGTACAAGACCTAACGCTGGCACATAAATACTGAGGCAAAACACAAATGATTGTTAAGTGATGCCAAACTTTTTCAGATAAAAGGAAAGATCTGGAAAAGGACATGAAAATACCTGAAGCATTGCAGAATTGGTCAGTGACATTGTAGATTCTACAGCAGGAAGACTGTGGCTTAACCCAGTCAAAATAATCATCAATCCAGGAGGAAGGAGCAAAGCCTATCCTGGTACTGGAGGAAAGGAGAGAAAAATGACTAGTTTGGCCATGGAGCAGCCATTAGTCTCAGTACTTTTCCTTGAAACTTAACTTCCTTTTCTGTACTTTATACTGCTATCAGTTAAAAAAAATATTAGCCCTTCATTAAAAAAAACAAAACCTTTAAAGTACTAAGCAGTACATGAATCCTTTGAAAGGTTTCACTCAGGAAAACCCAGGTAGTTTTTAAAAAACCCAATTTTTCCAAGAAAAACTATTTTCAGTGAAAAATTTCAGGCCTGAGTTGCCACTAGACAAATATCCCTTCTAGCCGCTTCTGCAGAAATACAGAGCAGGTAGTCCAGGTACTCACTAGTTGTCCAGCTCAGCCGCATTAAATATCTGCTGCACCAGGGAGTCATTGTCGCAGCCCATGCCACCGCACACCATGTTCTGCCCTTGCAGGGAAGTGTAATTGTGACCTTCCTCCAGGACAAAGTACACAGGTGGCCCCGAGTGTAGGTACTGACTGAGGGATTTGAAATAATCTATTACATAGGAGTCCTGAATGAGAGACCAGAAAAGAGGAGCGGAAGATCGTAATTAGGCAAGATGATGATCGCTAAGAACAAAGAGGGCGGCAGGAGGCCAAGACGCCTGCAGCCTAGATTCGGGACTCTCTCCCCAGGCCCTGGTGCTCCTCCCAATCAGCATGGCCACAACAGGTAACCGAGTGAGACCAGCTGCTCACTTTCTACAGCTGTGCCCCAAAAGGCAGTGTGAGGGTTGGGAATGCCAAGGCAGCCCACGCTGCTAGAGTTCTGCAGCAGCTGTCATATCACTGGAGAAACTACTGCCATTCGTTTGTACCATCTGCATTTAGAAGCAGGCATCAACACCTACACACATGCTTTGAAAACTTTATTCATCAAACAAGTGAAAGTAAAAAGAAAGTGTCTTACCTTCGGCATTGAAAGAGACTGATCCAATCCAATTTCCACTTTGTTCAGGACTGCAATACTGAATGACAGGACACCCACAAATACGGCTATCTGGAAGAAAAAAATGAATTATAAGACAGTGATTACTTAGTGTAATAATGTGTTTAAGAACAGAAATAAGTAAAATCTGACAATAGACAAAGCAGGAATTTTTTATTTTTTGCACTGCTGGGGATTGTACTTGTACATACTGGGCAAATGCTCTGCTGAGCTACAGCCCCAGCTCCAAATGAGGAGCTTTGTAAAGTGAAAAACAAGTTTAAATGACATTCTAAGACAACATGGAGTACAGGGGAGTGTATGAAGTCACAGAAGCCAGAGTCAAAGTCCTGGGTTTAAATCCTGGTTATGCCACTTAAGAGCCAAGTGACACCGAGCAAGTCACGTGCTCTCTCTTAGCTTCTATTTCCTCATTAGTAAAATGGGGGAAAACAGCAGACTCATTGCATCAATAAATGAGAAAATCCTATGATAATCTAGATTTCACCACAGTATCCAATTGATATTAAGTGATCAATAAATGCTAGGTGTCACTATTGCTCCTTACTGTGATTAGAGACTACGTTCTTCTAGTAGAGAAGTGATAAATGATCACAGTTGGCTTCACGTGGTATATAATCTATAAAAAGCTCCTGTGTGGCTGCTGGGCGCTAGGAATGAGAGTGCTACAAGGAGACCTGGGTGGACAGTTGTGCATGCCCAGGATGGAGGTTAAGGAATCTTTATGTATGAGACAATCACAGAACCACATACATACATGGTACCAAGGCCAAATTCCTGGTTCTGGGGTTGGGAAGGTACAGCTTAGTGTCAAGCATGTGCTTAGCATGTGAGAAGTCCTGGGTTCAATCCTCAACACACATGCACACAAAAAATCCTGGTTCCGACATTGAACCAGGATTGAATTATACATGATACTTCAGGAAACCAAGCGAAGGAAAGCGGGGGGTCTGTCTATTCTACTTTTCCAACATTCTGTGAATTTATAATTATTTCAAAATAAAAACTTAGGGTTTTGGCACCAAAGGCATAAAATAAAAACTTAAAACTCTTGCTTATGTTTACTGGTAAAATCTCTCTAGGGGGTGGGGGAGGAGAAAAAGGAGAAGGATGGAGGGGGTGAATTCAATAATGATATATTGTAAGAACTTCTGTAAATGTCACAATGTACCCCTGCTATAACAAATTAAGAAAATCTCACTAGAAGATTTTACTAATTTGCTTTTGCATTTTTACATATATATTAACAGTTGTCAAAATCTCCCTCCTTCCTAAGTCATGAGATTTCTTCGAAGGTATATGACACATCTGTTTTGAGAGACAAGAGAAAAACCACAGAAAAGTTCATACCACAACTGGTCGCATCCAGTCCTTCAGCAGAAGTGGGGAATAGGAGTTTTTGAAGAAGTGAAACAGGAAGTTGTCTGAGGCCTGAACGCTTCCTACATCCTCAGCACTGCTGACACAGCACAGGATGTCCAGGCGATTTTTCTGAGGGGATAGAGGAGCAGAGGTCACAGAAAGCACCCTCTGACTTCTTTGCCTAGACTCTAAATTCAAATTAAATAGATTATGATCCTGGTAACACCTTACCTCTTGCCGCTTAATGTCTAACCCCAAGAGGCTCACAAAACAGGTCATCTGAAGAAGGAAGTCAATAAAGACTGCCATTCCCGCAAACAGAGAGAAAGTATGAACAGCTGGCATCACTGATAGTGCTCCTACAGGGGGAGAAAAGCCCTGTGTCACGCCACTTACCTCAAAGACTCTGTGTGAATCTCATGTTCAAGTGGTCACATAGATACAAGGAGTCAGAACAGGCTCAAGCCATGAGAAGGCGTAACACATAGTGTGCACGGCTGTCACGTTAGAACAGGGAGAGGAGAAGAGCTTATGAGCTCAGCCTTTTCTAAAATGGTGTCGGAATCAAGACTACTTGGGCCAGCTTCCCAGACCCTGGCCTATCCCACTTACCCAAGACCTAAGGGGAATTCAGCCCTCATTCTACTGTACTTAACAGGCTCTCAGACAAATTTACGCACATTAAGATTTGATGGCCACAAACATAGGCCATTTCTTACAGTACCTTCTATGCTTTGCTCTAAGAGGGACTATATCTTCCATCGGCTTTTTTTTGGCAGTACTGGGGGTTTGAATTCAGGGCCTCACATTTGCTAAGCAGGTCCTCTATCACTTGAGCCACTCCACCAGTTTTGTGTTGGGTTTTTTCAAGGTAGGGTCTGTTGAACTATTTGCCTGGGCTGACTTTGAACCGCAATCTTCCTAACCTCTGCTTCCCAAGTAGCTAGGATTACAGGCATGAGCTGCCAGCTATTTTATCAGCAATATTTATCTCCCAGTTTAATTAAGAGAGGCAACTTATAATCAAGTCAGGTCCCACAGGCAGATTTATCCTGCCTAGCGCACACTCTACTAATCCATTTTAGGATTAAAAATACTTTTAACAGGTTACCAGTATTTAACACTGAGATTTTTACACAAAAATCTAGACTCCAGCTTTGTTTGGAAAAAAAAAAAAATCAGGCCTTGCAACCCTGGGCTGGCTGTATGTCACAGCCTCTTTGGATGCCACAGCTCCCCGTCCTTACCCCCACTGTCTTACCAAGGTCACTCTAACCTTGAGGCACAGTCACAGCTGTTGTTATTACAACAATTGTACTGTTTTTCTCAGAGCAGAAGTAAAAAGAATGAACTTTTTTCCTGCACCTGTGTCCTTCAAAAGGAACAGCAAAGGCCACAGGTTTTGAAAGTACACTGCTTTGTGGAAACGAAGACTAACAGGGTGACAGTGTATGTGTGCTGAAATATCACCATCTATGATGATCCCACAGTGGCTGGCGTAGGGTGACCCTGAGACCATTCAGGCACTGTGTGTCCTCTCTGGATGGAGGGATTCTAATTCTGCCTCCTCTACAGAGGTGCCGAATCCTCTGCTTCAGAGATGGGGCAGGTAGCCCCACTGGAGAGCCTACTTGGTGATGTCTTCATATGAAGGAAATACTGGGTTCTGATTTTTGTCCCCATTCTTCTGGCTCCTTGCACTGAGGTAGGATGCAAGAACCTCTGCTCATTAATGAGGCTGCGTGAATTGTGTACGCAGGGAAGTAAGCCTGTTAGACAAAAGGCAGAGCATCCTGCGAGCTAATGCCTGTGGAGCTGGGAGCTGCTGCTTAGAGTCATATTGAGAAGGATTTGGCAACATGCGAATTTAACACACACCATGGGTACCCAAAGGGGAGGTGGCAGAAGAATTCTAGGTTTCTGTCATTCTGAATCCCAACATCAACACTGTTCTGTAACTTATCAGAAGAAAGAAGACACTTGCAAAATGACACCCAAGACACTGCCACCAGTGATACTTTCCAATGACAATGACAGAATAAAGCTTCCAAAAGACGGCAACACAAAGGGGCATATTCAGATACCCAGTTCCTTTTTTCCCCAGGCACAGCAAACTACAGGACTGGTACAATTTAAAGCATAATTATGCCAGCACTGGTGGCTCATACCTATAATCCTGGCTACTCAGGAGGCAGAGATCAGGAGAATCACAGTTCAAAGACAGCCTGGGCAAACAGTTTGAGAGACCCTATCTCAAAAATACCCAAACAAAACAGGGCTGGCAGAGTGGCTCAAGTGGTAGAGTGCCTGCCTAGCAAGATTGAGGCCTTCAAACCCCAATACTGCCAATAAATAAATAAACAAACAAATAAATAAATAAAGCATAATTACCTAAGAAAAATGCCGAAGTCTCGGAAAAGGATGACAAGAACATAGTAGGAGCCACTTCTCCTAGGACTCTGCCCAGTTGTTGATCCAGGGTTTCTCCTTGAAGACGTTCATCTCTCTTAAAAAAAAAACCAAAAAACAAAAAACCCCACACACGTTAGAATTTCTCGGTGACAATGCATCTCTGCTGACTTGCATTAACTAAAAATGATTATTAGGTGATTAGCCGCACCTTCTAAGCACAAAGACTTGGTGGGGACCCCAAAGTTTTCAGGTTAATTGATTCACGCTATTTCTGAAACACTGAGCTAGGTGCCAGGTGAGAAACTCAAGGAAAAACCGAATCATGTTATTGGAAGAAGATGATGACACAACATGGGGGGCTTCAGGATGCTCCACTGAGACCATTTTCTTCATCAGAGGACTGTGTGTTGACCCTGGGCCTTTTTCGTGGACCTTAGAACAAATCTCTTGTTCATCTATAGTATACTGAGGATTTTAGAAACAGTCACACCTAAAATCATTTACAAAAGAGTGTTAGCCCCTATTACACACAGGTGAAAAAGATACCATTTAAAATCCTCACTTTATATCTATTTCACTAACCAAAAAGAAGGAAGTTTTTGGTTCCAAAATGTCCAGAACAAACCAAGGATACCAGTGAGTGTTTTTTGCTGCATGTGTAAAGGGAGAAACAGACCCCAATACTTGGGCAGAGGCCAGGCTCTACAAGAAGATGAAAACATGCCTGATAGGTCTGCACCAGGATGAAGATGTTGTCCACCCCAACTGCTAGCACCAGGAACGGGATGACTTCAATCACAATGAGGGTCAATGGCGCCCCGATGTAACTGAAGATGCCCAGCGAGCAGGCCACCGAGCCCAGCACTATCAGGATACCCGCAACGCCTAGCGAGATCTTAGAATCCACCTGAAGGAGACACAGACATCATCAGCAGAGGAGTTCTGCCCATCTGTTATGAAAAGGTCCTTATTTTTACTTCTTATTTATAGCTAACCTCAAGTTAAAAGTACAACTCTCAGTTCAAGAGAAGATAGAAAAAATTTCTAGGTCTGCCTAGCAACATATTTCATGAACTCATATTCTTAGGTGATGGATACATCTTAAGTTGAACCAAAAAACCACAACTGAACAGAACATGCAGGAAACAGAAAAGTTCAATTTGCACCTGTGTCCATCAAAAGGAAGAGCATATCTAAGGGAGTTCTGGACTCAATGAATTAAGAATAAGTAGAGGCAAGAACACAACATCACCCTGTACCTGGCTATTCCTTTTTCTTTTCTGGTGGTACTGAGCCTTGTGCTTGTGTTCTACCACCTAAGCCACACCCCCAGCGCTATTTTTGCCTTTGTTGTTTTTAGATAGTGCAAATATTTGCACTTTGTTCCTGGGCTGGCCTCAGACTATGATCCTCCTACCTATGCCTCTTCCATAGCTGGGATTACAGGTATGTACCACCACACCAGCCCCTTCCATTACCATTTCTAATACACACATGAGACAGACACATATACCTCCCACCAAACTCACTTACCAGAAGCCTTTGACAACTTTTGATGTGTCCTAAGGCTAGAGAGATGTACAGAAACATGATACCATAGCTAATTGCGATGGTGAAGACGTCACTGTTACTTTCACGATTCAGTTCATCTTCAATACTTCGTTCAGTAGTGAAAGAAATGGTCAGATTTGGATTCTTGTAGTTTTTCACAAAATTAATAAATCTAAAGAGTAAACAAAATTTTATATTTTTGTTTAAAACTACATTACAGATAAGAGACTTCTTCCTAGCTTTTATGACACAAAGGCCACACCTACTTAACCTCTGCCCTGCATCAGGATCTTTTACACCAGAGGGCGAATTTTCTACCATGTCTTTGGTGTGTTGGGGATCAAACCTGGGGCTTTGTCCATGCTAGGGAAGTGCTCTACCACTAAGCTACACCCCTAGTCCTGAATGCTAGTTTTTTGGGGAGTGGTACTGGAGTTTGAACTCAGGACCATTACTTCATAGGCAGCACTCAACCACTTGAGTCACAATCTCAGCCCGTTTTTGCTTTAGTTATTTTTCAGGTAGGGTGTTGTGATTTTGCCTGAGGCTGGCCTCAGGCCATGATCCTCCTACCTAAGGTCTCCTGCAGAGCTGGGATCACAGGCATGCACTACTACATCTGTCTTGAATGAGATAGGGTCTCACTAACTTTTTGCCTGGGATGGTCTCAAATCACAATCTTTCCAATCTTTGTCCCCAGAGTATCTGAGATTACATGCGTAGGCCACTGTGCCTGGCACTAGTCCTGAATTTCCTACCATTTCAAATATTTTTAGAAAAAGTTTTAAATTGATTCATCGTATGCCTTAAAAAAAGACACCTAAGAAAAAGAAATCTAAATTAAGTATGTCACACACATGTAATTTTTTTACTTTAGACAGGGTCTTACTATGTTACTCAGGCTGGTCTTGAATGTCTGAGCTTCTTGAGTGCTGGAATTATAGTCATGTACAACCACAAAGGGCTTACGTGAACTTATATGTTCACGGCACAAAATTTTAAAAGTCCATCTACAAATTCAATGCTATATATGTTACAATGCTAGCTAATTTCTTAATAGAAACTGATAAGCCGATTCTAAAACTCACATGCATTTTCAGGGCACAGAGTAGCCAAGACACTTTTTCAAGAAGAATAAAGTAGGACTTACATTTCCCAATTTCAAAACTATAACACAATAGTAATCAAGGCAGTGTGGTCCTGCCACAAGGATAGACACACAGATCAGAGAAACAGAACTGAGAGTCCAGAAGCACATATGTCTTAGGCTAACTAATTTTTGATAAGGATGTCAAGACCATTCAATGGGGGGGAAGATCCCTTCAAACAAATGGTACACTTCGACTGGCAGCTACATGCAGAAGATGAAGCTGGACCTTTACCTCACATCATATCCAAAAGTTAACTCCAATGGATCAAAGACCTAAGTGTTAAGAGCTTAAAACTATAAAACTCAGAAGAAAACAAGAGTAATCTCTGTCCTTGGATTAGACAACAGTTTCTTAGATATGACACTAAAAGTACAAGCAAATAAAAAAAATTGGACTTTATCAAAATTAAAAACTTTTGTGTTTCAGAATTCAAGAATACTACAAAAACAAAACAAAACAAAACAAAACCCTCATCAAGAAAAGTAACAGCTAGGCACTGGTGTCTCACACCTGTAATCCTACTTAGGAGGCAGAGATCTGGAAGGTTTGGTTCAAAGCCAGCCCTGGACAAATAGTTCAAAAGACCCTAACCCATCACAAAAAAGGGCTGGCAGACTGGCTCAAGTGGAAAAGCACCAGCCTAGGAAGCCTGAGGACCTGAGTTCAACACCAGTGCCACAAAAAAACAAAACCAAAAAAACCCCACAGAATGGATGGAAATATTTGGAAATCACTTACCTAATAAAGGACTTCTTTTTTTTTTTTTTCATTTTTCTTTTATTATTCATATGTGCATACAAGGCTTGGTTTATTTCTCCCCCCTGCCCCCACCCCCTCCCTTACCACCCACTCCACCCCCTCCCGCTCCCCCACTCAATACCCAGCAGAAACTATTTTGCCCTTATCTCTAATTTTGTTGTAGAGAGAGTATAAGCTATAATAGGAAGGAACAAGGGGTTTTGCTGGTTGAGATAAGGATAGCTATACAGGGCATTGACTCACATTGATTTCCTGTGCGTGGGTGTTACCTTCTAGGTTAATTCTTTTTAATCTAACCTTTTCTCTAGTTCCTGGTCCCCTTTTCCTATTGGCCTCAGTTGCTTTTAAGGTATCTGCTTTAGTTTCTCTGCATTAAGGGCAACAAATGCTAGCTAGTTTTTTAAGTGTCTTACCTATCCTCACCCCTCCCTTGTGTGCTCTCGCTTTTATCATGTGCTCATAGTCCAATCCCCTTGTTGTGTTTGCCCTTGATCTAATGTCCACATATGAGGGAGAACATACGATTTTTGGTCTTTTGAGCCAGGCTAACCTCACTCAGAATGATGTTCTCCAATTCCATCCATTTACCAGCGAATGATAACATTTCGTTCTTCTTCATGGCTGCATAAAATTCCATTGAGGACTTCTAACTAGAACATATAAATGATTTTTATAACTCGCAATTGAAAAATGCGAGTTGAAGATGGACAAGTACGTTATGGTTGCCTAGGGATGCAGTAAAAGGATGAGAAGATGGGGGAGGGGGTGGTAGCTAAAGGGAGCAGTGTTTCATCCTAAGATAATCAAAGTGTTCTAAAATTGTGCTGATGGCTGAGCACATATGTGAATATACTAAAGCCACTTTCCTTTTTTTCTGTGCTGGGAACCAAACCCAGGGCCTAGAGCATCTAGGCAAGCACTGAGTTACATCTCCAGCCCAGGTTGTGTACAAGTGAATGAACTGTATTGTTTATGAACCATTATTTCAATACATCTTTTTAACAAAAATAGTGAGGGGTAAAGGAAAGGGGAAAAGTCCTTGTTCTCCCAAGCCTCCTCTTCTCATTTTCTAGAAGCTAGAAATACAGTTAACTTCTTGGGTTACTTGCTTGATATTTTTTCTAAGCATAAACAGCATGGATAGTTTATATTTATGTAAATGCTGACTGGATCTTTTATTTTTGGTGATACGGAGGTGGGGGGTTGAAATCAGAGCCTCACATTTGCTAGGCAGGTGCTCTACCACTTGAAGCCATGCCCTCAGTACTTCTTGCACTGATCATTTTTGAGATATGGTCTTGATTTGTGCCCAGCCTGGACTGCAATACAACTCTATGAGCACCCGCATAGCTGAGGCTGACAGGCGCATACCACCATGCCTGGCCATAGGCTAAACTGGGGTCTCTCTAACTTTTTTGCCCAGGCTTGCCTCAAACCGCCATCTTCCCAATCTCTACCTTCCAAGTAGCTGGAAAGCAACTTGAGCCATGGCGCCGCGCCCGATTATACCTTTTAAGAGACCATTATTCACCTCTCTCTCACGACCACATAATGTCCTAAAACACTCACCTGTTACCAATGTACATTCAATATTCTGTTAGAAAATAATGCAGATGCCATTTTTGCATACATATGCATTCTGTGTAGGAATATCTGTTTAAACCATCTGTTTCTAGGTAAATCTGTCCAAAAATTTCTTGTTCTTACCATCGGTATTGTCAAGTGAAAAAATCACAAATAACTTAGATCTGATGCTGGTTAATTGAGAGAATAAAGGTTCAAATGCTTGCTGCAAACGTATGGGCTTCCCAAACACAAGGACGCTTGGTTTGTTCCCTGTGAGTGACTCACTCTTTTTCCCAGGCCTGGGCCTTCTGGAGCTTCTCTGTGTCATTATAGTAATTATTGACAGGGAAGGTAATCACGAGGGCAGTGGCATTATTGTAGTTTTGACCTAGAAAGGAAAAATGTGACATCAAAAAGCAGAGTACAAGCATGCAGAAAATTAGATAAACATGAGGGGCAGTCGCACGTGGCTGACTTGGCTGACTCTGATTTCTCACTGGAGCTACAGACTGTCTCTCTGTGCTCTAAGACCTCACAGGAGGGCACTGACATGGTCTTTTTGTAGTTCAGTTAATGAATACAAAGAATTCTCCATCTAAAGTCGGCACAGTTATCATTTGGGAAGAGCAACTATCCTTTTTTTTTTTTTAAATAGGGCTGGGATTTGAACTTAGGGCTTCATGCTTGCAAAGCAGGTGCTCTATTGCTTGAGCCACAGTGCCAGTCCATTTTGTTCTGGTTATTTTGGAAATGGGGGGGTCTCATAATTTGCCTGGGCTGACCTTGAACTTCAATCTTCCTGATCTCAGCCTCCCAACTAGCTAGAGCAACTAGTCTTGGTAAAGTTGTTTTGCTTTTGGGGTTTTTTTTTTGATGCTATTGGGGTTTGAACGCAGGACCTCATGCTTGCTAGGCAGGCGCTCTACCACTTGAACCACTCCAACAGCCTAAGAGCAACTATTCTTTTTTTTTTTTAATTTTATTATTCATATGTGCATACAAGGCTTGGGTCATTTCTCCCCCCTGCCCCCACCCCCTCCCTTACCACTCCCTCCGCCCCCTCCCTCTCCCTCCCACCCCCTCAATACCCAGCAGAAACTATTTAGAGCAACTATTCTTAACGGCACAGTATGTGCATGGTAAAAATTTCAAATGAGGCAGAAGGCTGTTCAGTGAAAATCCCTTTCCTCAAACCCTATTCTAGTTTTGGTTCTCCTCTGCAAGCTGTGATCAGCTATGAACCGTTCCAGAGATACACCATGCACACACAAGCAAACACACATGCGTATTCTTCCCCTTTCCTTCTTACACAAATAGTTCTACATGTTACATTTAAAATTTTTGTACTTGGAGCTGGGTGTACATGCCTATAATTCCAGCGGAGGGAGGCTGAGGTAGGAGGATCTTGAATTTGAGTCCTGCTTAGGCAACAAAGGGAAAAAAATCAAAACAACATCTTTTTTGTATCTTAGAGACCGTTCTATCTTAGTATGCAAAGAGCTATTTTATTCTTTTTTTCTGCAGTATATTTTCTACTATAACAATAAAGTCCCAATTAATGGATATTTTTACAATTTTTTGTTATTACAAACAAAACTACTATGAAGAATATCTATAAAGCACATATTTATTTGTAGAATCAATTTTTTTTTTGGTGGTACTGGAATTTGAACTCAGGGCTTCACACTTGCTAGGCAAGCGCTCTACTGCTTGAGCCACTCTGCTAGTCCTGTTTTGTTTTGGGTCTTTGCAAGATAGGGTCTCGAGAACTATTTGCTTGGGCTGGCTTTCAACCATGATCCTCCTGATTTCTGCCACCTGAGTAGCTAGGATTATAGAATCAATTCTTACAAATATAATCACTGAGTCAAAAAACGATGTGCTTCTCCCACACTGCGCTACAGAGAGAGAGAGAGAGAGAGAGAGAGAGAGAGAGAGAGACAGACAGACAGACAGACAGACATCGGTTCTATGACCCTCAGGACTTTGTTAAGATGTCAGGTAGAGAAAGGCTGAAGTGAGGTGTTTCACCAACAGGAATGAGGATAAGCATTTCCTCCATATAAACAAAAGCCATGTGTTAGCCTCTTCTGTTCACTTCCAACTACTTTTCTTTTGGGTTACTGGGTTTTTGTTTTGTCTTTTTTCCCATAGATCTCTTTACATAACTTTAAGGGAATGCTGCCTGCTATGAACATTTCTTTTGCTTTAAGGAGAAAACAAAAAAACTATGTCTTTCCTCCAAACATTAACTTAGATTTTTTTATGTTGTCAAATTCATCAGACTTTCCTTTTATGGTTTCTGAGCTTTCTGTCTTGCTTAGAAATGCCTTCTCCATTTAATAATTATTCTATAACAATTCTCCTGTATTTTATTACAGTTTTTTTTTAATGGTTTCACTTCTTATATGTCAATCTTTGATCTATCTGGAGTTCACTTTGATGGAAGGAATAAGGCAGAGGTCAAATTTAATTCCCCCTCATGGTTACCTAGTGGCTGACACCACTGCTTTCCCAACATTAGAAAGAGCATTGTATTATGTAGTCAGAGTGCATTTTAAATACACATCACAACATCTCCCCTGCCTTGGAGCACAGGGAAGAAAACCTATGTGGCCTATTCACTGGCTGGGGAAAAGCCTGCTAAGTGGGCAGTAAGGGGTTGTATGAATCTTCACCCACTTTATCTAGCACTATCTGTCCTGAGGTGCTGCAGGAACCAGCCAACAATTGCTCTTTCCATTATACCAGTGTCCAAATTGTCCTGACTACTTTAGAAGAAAAAAATCCATCAACTCTGGGTTTTCTCTTATCCCTACATATTATCTCTTCCCTATTTCAGGGATCAGAATATGAGGTCCAGGGCCTCCCTAGAGGTTCGACATGTGAGCTTCCAGGGCCTGCGATCTCCTTGTAAATGAATATATGGGAGTGCACACAACTGCATTATACTATGGATGTATCCTTTGCTTAGGACAGCTTCTCAAAGGCATGTATGACCTAGAAGGGCAACACAAGATTAACATATCCACTTTTTTTTTTTTTTTTTTGAGACAGGGTCTCCCTATGTAACCCAGACTGGTCTTAAACTCAAGATCTTCCTGCCTCTGCTTCCTGAGTGCTGGGATTACAGGCATGTACCACTATACCTGGCCTACTTCTTTTAAATCTAGAATAAAACCCAAACCCAAAGGAGATATTTTTGGGACTCAAGAAACAGGGAACTAAGAAGAATGCCCAATCTCTGAAATCACCCTTGACCACTAATGACAGAACCAGGACTACTTTACTAAGAGAAGCAGGGGTTGTTCTTACCATCATAGCCTCCCAGCACAAGCCACGGGAACACTGGTCCTCCAAATGTACCCAGGCAAGGATCATGGAGCATGCTTGTATCATTCAGAGAGGCAGGAGCCCTGCCAAAATGCAGAAAACACCTCACAATTAGCACAAGCTCCAAGACATCACAGAGGCCTGAACATTTAGACAGCAAACATTTGGTGCAACTGACCTAAGCACAACATGGGCCCTGAGGTTCCTTAGCTGAATAATCCTGTGTCTGTCACTTTTCTCTGGGAGCTCAGTAACTGGGCATGCATGGATAGTCTGGCACGATCAGTGATGCATGGTGCTGTGCAGGCATAAAAGAGGGTGCAAAGGACACAAACTGTCACCAAACTACCACCAAAAGGTGGAGACCTGTATGGAACCCAAGGTCTAAGGACAAGGAGAATTCACCAAGGAGGGAGGAAAAAGAGTACACTATACAGCTATGATCATGGGGAGACAGCACAAGCATGTGACAGGGACCAGAGTAAGAAGACGGTGGTTCAGGGAATGATAGTCCTGTCTTAGAGCATGGGGTGCCCACAAAGTGTGTGGGGGGGTGCCTAGGAGAAGGGACGGGGCTGGGAAAAGTGAGGGATAGACAATGACAAAAGCAATGATTTAGTGCCATGCTCAGCTGTTTGGACTGTTATCCTGGAGGGGCTGGAGAATAAGCAAGAGTTCTGGGAAAGGGATGTCATGAGTGGTTTTACAGACAACTCAGTGGCAAAGTGGGAGAAGGTCTGGAGGTGGGGAAAAAAAAAAAAAGGAAGTAGTAATGGTAGTCAAGAAGTTTGTGTAATGGTCCAGGCAAGAAAGGACAGGCAGACATGCCCAGTGGACAGGGAACCAGCACTTCAGGAGATATCAGCCAGAATTCACTGGGTCCTTGGGGAGGCTCTCACATAGCATCTGTCCTTCACAGCTGCTGGGTGGGCTCAGCCCTGGGGGCAAATGACCTGCAGGTGGAGCACAGTCCTCCATCACACAGCTGACTGCCTCCATGTCAGAGACGGAGAGGACATCTAGAGGTTAAAATCCACAATAACCACCCAAGGATGGTAGGGAGAAGAAGGAATACAGGGATAGAGTCTCATGTTTGAATAACTGGTAGGCATCAGTACCATTAGCTGATGTAGGGAAAAGAGAATGTCTGTACTTTGTTCTGGGCCGGTCAAATCTGTCATTCCTGTAGGATCCATGGGTGGAAAAGCCTAGGAAAAGCTGGAGGATAAGGAATAGGCAGGAGCTGGAGAAAAGCCTGAAGTCATGGAGCATACACAAATGCGTCTACGTACTGCAGCCCACAGGAGAGTGCTCACAGCAGTTTTGCAACCTAAAACACAAGTCTCACACACAACTTCCCCCACTACTACTTTGTAAAACAGAAGCAAAACACTTTTCTCCTCCAAATATAGAAATTATACATTAGATTTTTTTCAGTCACCCCAGCTCCCTGTACCATCTTCCCTATGGAGAATGCTAGTTTAGAGCCTGTGAACATAAATTTATTTATTATTTTATGAGTACAACTCATGCGTTTACAGGCAATGTCCTTGAAGTAGATAGAGTAGATACAGCCCAATGGTCTCAAGAAGTCACATTCTAGTAACAAACAGATGTAACTTAAGGTCACCAGAGTTTTTGACAACCAGAAGCCAGAGGGCTTAGACCTGGAGATGTGGCAAAGTTGAGCAGCACACTCAAAGGCAACCAGGAATAATTTCTCCACTTCCATGGTGCAAAGACAGCCAATGAGGCTGTCCATCTAGCTGTGTTTCTGTCAACAATGGATCTCATGTATGATAAAGGTCCCATAGGTTACATTGCTTAGTGACAGTGCAGTGGTCTTAATTTGTATAAATACACTCGAGAATGTGCATGTTAACTAGCAATGAATTTCTCAAACTGTGTTTCCATCATTAGGCAGCACGTGACTGTATTTATTGTTCCTAGTCATCTCCCTCCAGTAGGATGTAAGCTTCACAGGGCCCATCTTGCTCCACTTGTTCACTGCAAGTGAGCATGAATGGTGTAAACAACAGCAAGTTCTCAACTGGCAGGCTACATGAATGACTGCTGCCACTTACCGTACACAGTACAGAAAGTGCGTGTGGAAATCTGCATACGTAAAGAAGTCATCCATTATTTTGTGGTCCAGCATGGAATGGCTGTTCTGGAAGTAATTTAGCACACTCAGAATGGTGCAGTTCTTGTTATATGGTGATAGAGGGGCCACACAGATGTCTTGAAGTGTCACAGTCTCGTTGTTGTAAGATGCAATTATGTTTTCAATAGCTGTTTGTAAATCAAGCACCTGAAAGAATATTTCAAAAATAAGCAAACCCAGAGACAAGTCAGATTTCTTCAGATCTCACTAACCAGTATTTCCCTGAGACGTCAGAAGAAAAAGAGCATTTTAGGAAAATTCTTCCTAAGATCGGGGAGGATTAATGCACAACATAGTAAGATATCTGGTGGGGACAAAAGCCCATTCTTACAGCAAAGTGGGATGAAGACTCTGGTTAGAGATGTCCAGAGATGGTAAGAGATCAGAATGGATGTCCAACCATCTCCCTCCCACCCTTCTCTAACAGCCACCAAGGCCCCAGAAGGGAGACTGGAGCGAGATGCCTGATTTTTTGGATGCCTGATCTTCCCCCTCCTCCAAAACACACCACCTACTGCCTTGCTCTGTTTTGAAACCATTTACCGATGTCTATATTTCCTAATAGAGAACATGTTCTTGGAAGTAAATGACTATGCTGATCATCTTCTGCAACAAGTTGGGAAAAAGCAACAGTTATTGGGTTTCTATAAAAAGTATTCTATTAATGTCTCAGGACTATTTTAATGCTTTTCAATACTTTCTGTAGACAACAGAAATATTTAAAGGAAAAATCTGTGTGGCTGTATAATCATTCACTAAAAAAGAAGTGGAAGGGTTGCTCATGGTAGTGCATACCTGTAATCCCAGCTACTCACAAGGCAAAGGGAGGAGGATTGTGAGTTCAAGGCTAGCCCCAGGAAAGGTAATGACACTGGCTCAAAAACAAAAAGCTGAGGACAGGGTTCAAGTGATAGAGTGCTTGCCTAGAATGTGTGGGACCTTGGGTTCAATGCCCAATGATTAAAATATGGCTGCAGTTTACAGGGACAATTCTCCATGACAAGTGTGGTGGGACCACGGGAAACACTTAATGCCTTTGTAAGAGAAAGGGATAGATCTCATCCCAAATGCACTACTGGCTAGTCCCAGGTTGGAAGCCTGCATCCAGACCATGATAAGTTCATTCCTGGAACATGGATCAGTATGTCCCGGCCCAGCTCCCAGGACAATGTAAAAAACTGCATTTCTTTGCATTCTTTCATATTACCTTCAGCTATCGAAGGAAACACACAGGTGGGTGGAGTCTATATAAACATATCTGCTTCAACAAAGAAATACTAAAGTCTTCTGCTCATCTCAATTTCAAGAAAGAAAACTAGCCCTACTGTATGAAGTCAATTCAAAAAACAGTGAATTTTTTCATTAAGTTCAATGCCTACCGTCACTTTCTAGAAAAGCTGAAAATCCTTAGCTTTCATGCTTAAAGATTTTCAAGAACCTTCACTACATTTGGTCCCAAATCCACATTAAGTACCAGTGGTCAACATGGAAAAACCAGCATACCCCCAGGGCCCTGACGGATGTGCGTCTGCAAACACACATTACCTGGTGCAAAATCTCTTTGTCAAGTGGAGGTCCAAAGGGCACGTCGGCTCCTGAGGGGTACGGCTCATAAATGTGTATGCTGGTGTTGGGGGCCTGGATAATAAGCTGCTCAGTCCGAAAGAAAGGCCCAAAGTGTGTGTCAAAGTACTCTTTCTCCAGGCGGGCCTGGCTGTTGGGGGAGGACCACAGGTCGACAGGATTGGTGGTGACGCGGACAAATACAAGGCCTGAAGAACTTGCGGCAATGAAGACCAGTGAGAAGAAAATAACACAGCCAGGGTTTCGGACACAGAAGACCCCCCACTGTGTGAACATGCGCCTCAAAAAGCTCTCAAATGCGGCACCAAGCTGGTCACAGCAGGAAGCCTCCCCTGGAAGAGTGGGAGAGAAAAGGAGGGTAGACATTAAGAGCCAAGCCATTCCTGAAAGTCAGAACAGAGAAAGCATTCCCTTCTACTGTGTGTGCTCAGTGTGTCATCGGAGGGAGTAGCTCCCTCCCACGGTCACAAGCCCTCCCCTCCCCACACCACTACGACCTGCTGAGTGAAGTCACCCTCCCTGGGTGCCCAGGATGGACACTGCTTCACCCCATGGAAAAAAAGACACTCGCATAAGAGCCTCTGAAAAGTGAGGTTCTCTGCTCTGTCCATAGCAGCTCCTCTCAGTCCTGCCCTTGGCACCTTCGTAGCTCTCACTCCAGTACATAGTTATCTCACTACTATTATTAATTACTTGGTTCTAATATGCCACCCCTATGAGGCATCAGTGTCACAAAGGCAAGGGCCATGTGTCCTTGGCACTAGCACACTGCCTCACACAGAACAAATGTATCGCCTGTTGAGGAAACAAAGCTCTCAGGCCAACATGATCTGAACCCTTTATCTCCTGTACCAATGTGCCTACCTTTGTCACTGGCGTTCACAGAAAAGGCTATATTGCTGTCAATGGGAGTGTACTCAGACACAAAATATCGTTTTCTGGAAAATAAGAGCATGTAAGTGGTATCAGTGGACTTCATCATAGTGAGGCTGTTATTCTGACATTCCAATCACTCCCTCCTTCTCTCTTCCTCCTCCCCAGTTGTTACCATCTTTCCCCTTAGTTTCTCCTGGGTCTCTGGGCTCACCAGTCAAGCAGAGTATTCAGGAAGGCATTTAATAAACAAGTTATTACTGGATGGCTTCACTTTGCAACCTTCACTTATAAATTTCACTATCCTCCCCAGTAGTAACGAGCACATCTAGTGCTCAAGTCTTCATTTCTAAATACCACTCTCCAACAAAAGGAAATAGGGGTCTCTGAAGAAGAGGTTGATTCCAGTAAGGCAGGGAAAAATGTCAAAACCACAAAGATTTGAGCAACCAAATAAATGACAGTAATGGATACAGTTAATAAATAAATAAGTGAAGAAAGAAGTCCAATTAGTAAATGCAAACGGAGTGAGAAAACCCCATAATCACCCTTAGGCAAACACCACAGTGATAATGGGCCTCCACCAGTCAGTATGCAGTGGGGCAGTTTCAGGAGAAACTGAAGTACTACCAGTCTTCAGGTAGCTCCTCTTAAGAAATTTCAATTCCAAGGGGAAAAATATTAACTTCATATGGAGAAATTCAGCAGACACTCCTTACCTATGTGATGGAGGTTAATGTCATTGGTAATGAGACATATGGACATGATGGAGTCCCTGCTAGGATGCACCAAGAAAGACCCATCACCATGTCCACAAGGCTCTTGTCAAAAACCCCAGTCTAATCACTAGAAAACACTGGATGAAGCCAAGTGAAGACATGCTGCAAAATAACTGACCAGTATCTATTTAAAGAGTGCAAACGCCATGAAAAAAGGAAAGCCCAAGGAACTGTCTGTCACAGATTGGAGGAGATTAATAAAACACAAAAGGTTAATGTACTATGGGATTTGGAAACCAAACAATGGACATGAGATGAACTGCTGGTGAAATATGAATAAGATCTATAGTTTCGCTTATAATATTATACCAGTGATATTTTCATGGTCTTGATCATTATGAGCTCTGTAATTTTTAACATTAGTGGAAGCTAGGAAACGATTATGTGTAAACACTACTGCAAATTTTTGGAAACTTAAAAGTATTTCAAAATAAAAAGTTAATAAAAACATACTATCTTAAATCAAGATGCAATTATTGAAGAGGACTATAGTATTGCTTTTAAATAGATTTGGATCAGATTTGGCTTATATGACTGCCTGTGACTTTCTAAAGAATGGGTTAATGCGTGGTGCTTTAATCATACATCATTTTGAATAAATCAATAAAACTAACTTCACATGTTCAAATGTCTAAGCAAAACTTGACTGTTTACTAGCTGCAGGATATAATCAAACTCAGGTTTGATTTCCTGTTTTGATCAACCAAGGTCTGCCAAGTGAAAGCTTGAATTTTTTTTTGTTGGTACTAGGGTTTCAATTCAGGGTCTCATACTTGCTAGGTAGGCACTCTATCACATGTGCCATAACCCCAGCTCTTTTTTACTTTAGTTATTTTTTGAGTAGGGTCTCATATTTTTGCCCGGCCAGCCTTCACCACAATCCTATTCATGCCTCCTGCCTAGCTGGAACCACAAGCAGACACCCCACACCCAGATCATTGGTTAAGATAGAGTCTTGCTAATTTTTCCCAGGCTGGTCTTGAATTTTGATACTCCCAATCTTGGCCTCCCAAGTAGCTGAGATTATAGGCGTGAGCCTCTGCACCCAGCTCCACTTGGGTAATTTTGCTCTTCTCATCTTGGGCAATGACAACAACAACAAAAAGCTGCTTACCTATAACACCACACTGTAAAAAATGCTCCAAAAAATACAAATAAGAATGCCATGTAAGTGATCCACATGATGACATACATGGCATCCAAGCCAAAGATCCTCCAGGGAACAGGAGGGGGTGGGGGTTGGGGCTTGGGACCACAAACGATAGAGCAGTCCTGGCAGCTGCACGGCCCTGTGGTCTCATCTACAGACTCATTGCAGCTTTTGGTGGCATTTCTCATGGCTCATCATGGACTGGAAAATCTACAGAAGGAATTGTGTTGAATGAAGATCTTTAAAAAATTCAAATGTTTGTATTAAAATATTAAACTCAATGATATATATATATATATATATATATATATATATGTTACACACCACACACACACACAATGATGTGGGGGTTGGGGCTTGGGACCACAAACGATAGAGCAGTCCTGGCAGCTGCACGGCCCTGTGGTCTCATCTACAGACTCATTGCAGCTTTTGGTGGCATTTCTCATGGGCTCCATCCCATGGACTGGAAAATCTACAGGAAGGAATTGTGTTGAATGAAGATCTTTAAAAAATTCAAATGTTTGTATTAAACAATATTTAAACTCAATGATATATATATATATATATATATATATATATATGTATACACACACACACACACACACACACACACACACACTGAAATATAACACAACTGGAAGAATAAGAACTGGAGGTTTTTGTTTCATCTTTAATCAAGTCATGTTTTGCTGCTCTGTCTTATAATGCATAGGGTGTTGTTACTAATCTCTAACTTCACCATACACAAAGCTGAACTTTCAACTATGTCTTGCCTCCATTCTGAATAGTTAGACTAATACTACAGGAGAGCTCTGGAAAAGGTCTTTATGACACTTTTTAGCCTTTTTTTAAACAAACAACACCCCAACTTACTCTTTCAATTACCTACCGACCACTAAAGGCAATTCCTTTTCCTTCTCCATTCCCACTCCCTGCCCTTCTAACTCAACCAGGACAGGACAGTTTCTCTCTTACTAGAGAAACTCAAGGAACTAGTTTTCTGAATTTGTTTGTCTTTACATTGCTGATTATGATTTTTTGGCTTTAAAACAACATCATAAATATAATACACTTAGGAGCTGTTATCCCTACCTGAAAAAATGGGAGTGATGGTGAACGGTGCCTGTCCATTGTCCTTATTGAACATATACTCAATCCAGTTGGTGGCATTGCAGGCATCAGCATCCTTCCCACATAGGAGTCCCAGGGCCTTGTCATTACTTGAGGGGGCCTCCACATCCCGGCAGGCATTGTACATTGCTAGAAGAGGAATCCCGAGGAAAAAGATGGAGACCTGATGCTTGCTTTAATTCGTTAGGCAAGATCTTACAAAAGGCTTCTGGAATGGGAGCACAGGACTTCAAATGCACTGTAAACCACATTAGTCCAGCAGGCTAGAATGCAGGGCAATAAACACTAAAAGCAGGAAAGGAGACTTCCCTCTAAACTGGCTTATCAGTTACAAATAATATGTCAGGCCTGATTCCAAGTAACTTAAAAGTAAAAAAATAGCAGAAAAGGGAAAAGATGATGGCATGGCACACATTCTCACAATAGCTAGGAGAAGTTGCAGTCTTACTGCACAGAGGAAAGAGAGTCTCACTACCTCTTCAGCTAAAGAAGCTAGTTCCAGAAAACCTGTGCAGGAGATGACACAGCGGGAGAGCTGTGGAACTTACAGAGAAACTGTCTTTGGGGCAGAAGTCACATGTGAAGGAACCCAACACTATTTTCCTTTTTTTTGTTTTATTTTAGTACACACAAAGACAACACACTACATAAGGATAATATTGATGATGTTTTGTATATAACGAAGCAATTAGAATGGATCCTGTACTATTCATTTTCATTCACTGGTCCCTGCTTGCTAGAAACTTCTCAGGATCTTCTAAACTTCCAAGAGATATTCAGACAGGTTAGCTAGAGAGACAGTTATTCTCTTCATAAGTTTAAATACATTATTCCATTTTGGTCTCTATCTTGGCTGGTAAGAAAATCTCCAACTGTCATTCTTTGGAGGCAGTTTGTATCTTTTTCTCTATTTACTTTAAGATATTTGTATTTGGAGTTCAATAGTTTTTAAAGCTATATTTAGGTATAGGTTTCTTCCCCCCTTTAAAAAATTTATTGAAATATGACTTACATGCTATGCAATACACCCACTTAAAGTATAAAATTTAATGGATTTTAGTGTATTTAGATATGTGAAACCATCACCATATTCAATTTTAGAATATTTTTATCTGCTCAAAAAGAAACCCTGTACTTTTTAGCTATGACCTCTATCTCCCCACTTTCCAAGGCCTAAGTAATCACTAATCTTTCTGTTTCTATAGTTGCCTATTTTGGACATTTTATATAGAGTCCTATAACACATGGTCTTTTGTAACTGACTTAACTTAGCAGAATGTTTTCAGCATGTATGATACATGTTGTGACAAGTACTGATACTACATTCCTTTTATGGCCTAATAATATTCTATTATATGGTTATCTGAGTTGTTTACACCTTTTAGCTTTGATGAGTAATGCTGCTATAAACATTTGCATGTAAGTTTTCATTTCTCTTGAGAGTGCAATTGTTGAGTTATATTCTACATTTAAATGTCTCAGGAACTGCCAGGCTTTTTTTTTCCCCCAAAGTGGCTATACCGGTTTATGCTCCCACTGACAGTGCAGGAAAGTTTTGATTGCTCTGCATCCAGGACAACCTTGTTATCTGACTTCTGATTCTGGCTGTCTTGGTGGGTGTGTGCCATCTCACTGCAGTTTTCATGTGAATCTGTGTATGTGCCACTGGCCAGTTGTATACCTTCCTTGAGTCATCTGTCTATTATTGTTATAAGAGCTCATCACATATTCTGGATACAAGACCTTTGATATGATTTGTGAACATTTTGTCTTTTCTTCATGGTGTTCTTTGAAGCGCAAAGATTTTTTCATCTTAATGAAAAAAGTCCAATTTATCTTTTTCTGTTGCTCAAGCTTTTGTCACATCCAAGAACTCATCACCAAATCCAAGGTCATGAAGACTTATCCATGTTTTCTTTTAAGTATTTTAGAGTTTTAGCTCTTTTATTTGGGTCTTTGAACCATCTTGAGTAATTTATATATATGGCATGAGGTAAGGATCCAATTTCATTCTTTTGCATGTAAATAACCAGTTATCCCAGCACCATTTGTTGAAGAGTATTCATTCTTTCACCATTGAAAGGTCCTGGCATACTTGTCAAAAATCACTGACCACAGCTGTCTGGTTTATTCTCAACTATACTTCACTAATCCATATGTCATCCTTATTCAAGTATCACATCACTTTGATTTCTGCTGGTTGGTAATATGTTTTGAAATTGCATAGTGCCTCTTCCTATTTTGTTCTTTTTCAGGATTGCTTTAGCTCTTCTGAGTCTCCTAGAATTGTAAGTCGATTTTAGAACTGCATTGTCAATTCCTACAATGAAGTCAGTTGAGATTCTGATAGGGATACGATTAAATCTGTAGAACAATTTTGGAAGAAATGTCATCCTAACATCTTAAATCTTCTGATCCAAGAATATTTGTTTAGATCCTCTTTAATTTCTGTGCATAACATTCTGTAGTTTCAGAGCATGGGTTTTATATTTGTTATATAATTCCTATAATAATTCCTATGTATTTTTTTCATACTATTGTAAATGGAATTGTTTCCTTAGTTTCATTTTCAGATTCTATATTGAGTTTCTTTTTAATTTACTTTAAGGATTTTCTTTTCCTAAGTCTGAAAAATCTCAGCCATTATCCCTCTGCCCAACTCTTTTTCTTTTCCTGAACCTCTTCACCTTACTGTGCATGTCACTTCTTAATGATGTTCAGATCATTATATCTCTATGTTGTTTTCTTAGTAAGTCTCTCTTCTCTTCCAGCTCAGTAGTTGGTTTTCAGGGTTTTATTTTATTAGATACTTGGAGCATTTGGAAAATATGGAGACTACTATAATTCTCATTTACTGACCACTCATCTACAAATAAAATGAATAAAAAATAGAAATATAATCATCATAGATTCAGTTGAAGGCATCTGATTATCGCTCCCTGCCAACATCCCCCTTCTCTAAGGGAATCATGGTCTTGAATTTGATGTTTATTATTCACATGCATATTTATGTGATATTCTGTGTATCATATACTGTGTAAATTTATAGTACTTTTGTTTTAAACTTTCATATAACATGCTATACATATTTTGTAGCTTTTCAACCATTTTATGTGATAGACAATTCATACATTTTCATAGTTTTCAGTATTTCATGACAGGATTATACCCAATACATTTATCTATTCTCTATTATTCATGTCCCCAATTTTTTGTTTTTATTTTTAAAAGATGTTATATTTTAGAGCAGTTTAGGTTCACAACAAAATTAAATGGAGAGTTCCCACATACTCCTTGTCCCCCCACTTTGTCCCCCATGCACAACCTCCCCCATTGTCAACATCCTGCATCACAGTGGTACATTTATTAGGAACGAGGAGCCTACACTGATACATCATTATCACTACAGTCCACAGTCTATATTTAGGTTCATCTTGATATACATTCTATGGGTTATGATAAATGTATATGGACATGTACCCAGCCTTAAGAGTGTCAAACATAGTAATTTCAGTGTCTAAAAATCATCTGTGCTCTGCCTACTACTCATCCTTTCCTTCCCACTAAGCACTAGCAATTGCTGACTTTTTAACTGTTTCCCAAGTTCTGCCTTTTTCAGCATGTCAGACTTGCAGTCATATGCTATGCAGCCTTTTCGGATAGGATTCTCACTTAGTAATGTGATTAAAGGTTCCTTTATATCTTTTCCTTGCTCAATAGCTCATTTCTTTTTAATGATAAGTATTATTCCATGTCTGGATTTGTCACTATTTACCCGTTCACCTACTGAAGAACATCTTGGCTGCTTTCCAGTTTGGGCAATTATAAATGAAGTTGCTATAAATATCTGTGAGCAGGTTTTTGTATGGACATGTTTTCAACTCATCTGGGTAAATGCTAGGAGCATGGTTTCTAAATCATATAACAAGCATGTTTGGTTTCATGAGAAACTGCCAAGCTGTATTCCAAAGTGGCTGCACCGTTTTGCTTTCGCACCAGCAATGAAGAAGCTTCTGTTGCTCCACATCCTCTAACGTGTGGAGTGGGATCTCACTGTTACTGCAATTTGCACTTCCCTAATGGTATTTGATGTTGAACACCTTTTTACATACTTATTTACCATCTGTATGTCTTCTGTGTTCAGGTTTTTCACCCATCTTTCAATTAAGCTGTTTACTTTCTTATTGTTGAGTTTAAGCATTCTTTGTATACTTTGTCCTTGATAAAATAAGTCTTTTGCAATATTTTCTCCCAGTTTGCAGCTGTCTTCTCATTCTCTGATGTCTCCAATTTTTCATGATCAATGACAATGCTGCAACACATGGTCTTTTACGGGTCTCCCTGTTCACACACACATTAAGAGTTTCTGTAAGGCAAGCCTCTGTAAATGGAGTTTCTGAGGTAACCGTGTGTTTATGTACCTTCAGCTTACCATGTATTGCAAAACTATTTTTCAAATGGTTGTCCAACATTTGCACAAAGTTATGATGGGTGCGGTTTATCAGCATTCCTATTGCTCCACAGCCTCACCAGTAGTTGGAAATGACCATTTTAATTTGTGCCAGCCTGATAACATATGAATAGTAGTTCACTGTTTTAATCTGTATTTCATGAATTGTTCTAGATATTAAACCACTTTTGGTTTTTGTTTTCTCTCTCCTGTCTAGAAATCTTTCCTCATCTTAAGTTCATGAAGATATTCTATACTTACTTTTAAAAATTCCCAAGATTATACAATTTTTTAGTATATGCCAAAAGTTAGGCGAACATAATCAGCCTTATGACCCCCATCCACAAGCCTTACCATCTCCTCAATGACTTGTAATGACACACCTGTTTGTACTGACTTTTCACAAAAGCATGGTTCCATTTCTGGACAGGATGATCTCTTCCAGTAATGTCTTTTACATCACATCTTTTGGAAGATTGATTCCTAGGTGCCTTATTTTTTTCTTGTTCTTATGAATTGGCTGTTTTCCTATGAAACTTTTTCTATTACTTTTTTTTTTGTGTGGTAGTACTGGAGTTTGAACTTAGGGCCTCTACCACTTGAGCCCTGTGCCAAGCCCTTTCTGCTTTAGTTATTTTTTCAGGACCTTACAGCCTCTGTATAGCTGGGACAACAGGTGCATGCCATCAAAACCAGCTTATTGGCTGAGATAGGATCTAGCTAATTTTTGGCTCAGGCTGGCCTAGAGCCACAATCCCCCTAATTTCCACCTCTTGAAGAGCTGGTATTATAGGCATGAGCCACTATGCTCAGCTTCTGTTTCATTTTTAGTCAGTCATTACAATTAAATGGTGTATGTTGCTCTTATAGTTAACAAATTTGCTGATCTTACTGATACTATTACTTTTTAGACTAGTCTTAGACACTTTGTTTATCTGTGTCTACACTGTTGTTTATCTTTTAATCCATTTCAATAACTATTGTGTGTGTGGGGGGGAGAGTGGTCCATTCCATCTATTTGTAATACCTGCTTACTTTCCCCTATGGTGATCTTTTTTTTTTTCAGAGTAAAAACCGTTTCTCTTTTACCAACTACTTTTAACTTTCTACCCTGTATCCTAAGTCTTGCAGTAATTCATAGGTTAAAAACAATTCAAGTCTGCTAGAACCAGAGTCCCAATGGTTATTAAAACATATACAAGTAAATTCGTGCATACTAAAATTTACCGTATGGGAATTTAAAGTTAGTTAGGGGTTAAAGGCAATGCTTTAAAGAGATTATCTTAGTAATTGCAGCAAGTTCTAGGTCACAAGCAAAGCAATGACCAGTGCAAATGAAAATTGTGATTCTCTATAGACTTGACAGGACAACAAAAAGTAAACAACTTGATCCACTGTTCTGATGGCAGCCCTTTAAAAAGAGGGATAACTGATCTTTCTTACCATTGGCAAAACTCTGTCCAATATAGTACTCCAATTCTTTCACATTTGTTTTTGTCTGGTTTGTAACAGGATCAACATAATCTTCAGTTGCTGTGACATTCAGAAATTCACTCTGTCGAGGGCTACATGTCAGTTCACAAAAGAGGTTCATAAGATTATAAAAACAGGATGGACATCTAAAGAAAAAGTAAATAATATTTTGTGTGACTTCACATATAAGGCAGCAAAAATATGATTTAAAGCAGATACAGAATATGTAAAATTTTCTGCAAAGAGAAAAGGGAGTTACTATGAGAACATACTAAATTCTTCTTAAGACCTTATGTTAATTAAATGTAAAGAAACAGCTTTTAGCTTGTTGGGTGGCTCAAGTGGTAGAGTGCCTGCCTAGCAAGCATGAGGCCCTGAGTTCAAGCCCTAGTACCAGCCCCCGCAAAAGCAAAAGACATTTTTCTTTGTCCTGGAACTGTGATAATTCTGATTAAGAAAAAAAATGAGAATTATATTAAATTTTCATCTTATAACCTGTGGAAAGGCTTTCTCCCAAGCCTCAAATAATCCCACGCCCTCCCAAAATTCAAGAGGATTTCCATGTGACCTGTAAAGATAAAAAGAACAGCCACTGTGTGAGGCTTTGGGTTTGACCTCTGGCATGGCAAAAACAAACAAAACAGTGGTATTCTTTGGCTGCACATACTGCAGAAGCCCACAGGTTTTCATGAGGACCACAAACTGCTGTTTTTTAGGCTCAAATGTGGCAAAAGGGCTCTCATTCCCCTTTGGTCCACTGTTACCTGAAAAGCCATTGCTTTATTAAGACTTGCACTCTTGCAACACAAGTAAGCAAGATTACTTTCTCATCTGATCCAGTGACCTCGCAGGATACAGAATGAGGAATGTATGTCACAGCCTCCAAGAGCCTCTGTTCTGTGAAGATGTCAGAGATGTACATGGACTCTTTTTCAGGAGACCTGTGCTTTGCTGTGAGAAAACCAGAAACTGCAACCACACCATTCTTACAAGAATCACCCTTGGGGTGCAGTTTTGTACTGCTTTCCATGAATTACAAATTTCTCTCCATGTTACTTCATTTAATCTCCACAACCATCAATTTCACACCATATGTCAGGTTATATCTCTTATTTGCTATTATAAATAAAGCTTTGGTATTTCTGATATCATGGGGAAAATGTGGCTATCTGTTGATGTTTATATCCATAATGCCTCACCTAGAGTGGGTGCTAAATAAATGTGCTTTGACTAAGTCACAAAGCTTCCATCAATGTCCAGCAGCCTACAGTGGCCCAATTAGATTCTCAACCTATGAGGTATTATTTCATTGCATGCTATCCAAAGAGACCAATTTAGTAATGGTTTTCTGCTCTATACTGTCTACATCTGATCAGAACAGGGTTTCCTCGTGGAAGTGGCCTGTGCTCTGACACCTTCAGTGGTATCTGTAGACAGCATTTCCCCCTCTTTGTATTTGCTCCCCATTCATCTCTATCAGGGTGGGGAAGTCTGGAAAGTTCACAAAGATACCACAATCTGTTGTTGTAAAGAACATCACCAGCTTGTTCTTTTGCACATCTGAAAATTGCTAGGTGGGCCTACAGAAGAATACCTATTATTCTATCTTTTTGCACTGTCTGGTCATAGAAAACAGATGGGGTGAAAATGACTATGACAAAACCAGTCAACTAACCAGAACAAGCTTAGGAGTTGTTAAGATACCGAGGACCTGATGTTAGCACATCATTTCAACTCAGGAAGAACAAGAAGGGCAGGCAAAGCAGGAGAGGTAAGGAGAGGGAAATTACACAGAGGACTGTATAGATTCAAAACCAGGGTTCCAGACAGGACCACCAGGAACCTCTCCTCCTCCTGGTGCACAGAAAGTCCAGCCTGAAAGAAGGCAGCCAATTGTGCAGACACACCAGAGATCCAGGACATCATCTTAAAGCAAACCAAGTCTCAACTCTGAATGCAACTAGGAAGAGAACCAAATCAGTCATGATTGTCTTCTGACAAGTCATAGAGTGTTTTCTTAAAATAAAACAGACCAAAAAAATCTGACTTTTAAAAGGAAACCAGAAAATTACTGTTAATAAGTAATAAATGCCACCTAAACCCCACTGGTTCTATTTGCCCAGCTTCAACCTACCTGGACAGAAACTGTAGAGGCAGCTGCAGGTTGCTTTTTAGTGTCTGAAGCTGCTGAACATCACAACAGAGACTGACATTGTCGAAGAAGAATCCTGGACAGAGTTCCTTTTGAAAGAAAGAGCATGGATGTGAAAGCAGCATAGAGGAAGGACAATGTTCCTTCACTGCATAATCATTTTTAGGTGCATGAGGTGATGTGAATTTGCAATGTTCTTGCAGAATTCTCTTAAAAGCTACTGAATTTATTATTCACAAACTAGGGATTCACATGTAGAAGTCATAGAGACATTGTTAATTTTTTTCCTTGTTCGGAAGATCTCCTCTTCTCACAATCATTTTATTTCTTCTCACATTTTTTTTAAAAAGTTCAACCAGAGTGCTATTTATGATTTCTGTTAGTTACTCCAATGAAAATCAAAACTTTTACTAATTCAGATGAAAGGAGCAATTCTAAAAGACTTATTACCATGTCAACTTGATATTTGATTAGTTAGGCTTCTAAAATCAGTATTGTTCACCTTGGTTTTTCCAGTTCTCTTCTAATATTCCTGTGTATTAGGAATGGTAAAATGCTAAAAGAAAGCAGAACACTGGTAGCAGTCTAAATTCACAGGCTCTCAGGGGAACATGGAGAAATGACTAAAATGAATGAGAAATCATAGCTTCTTAGCAGCAGGTATAACCAAGGTCTGACATCTAGGAACCAAAAAAGCTAACTTCTACTATATTTTGCAGAAGTTCCAAAAAGTAACATCTAAGGTACCAAGGTCAGTCTCTAAATAGTAAGTAATCTGCTATTGGGAAACTCCATGATGAGTACAAAGTCAGCCGCAGGAAAATTAAGCCTCTGGAGTTATTTACCTTCTCTGCATTGTATGCTACAGGTTAGAGTCTGGGATAAGATTTAAGCCTCACCTTTAGCCCCACTCTGCCATAACATTTAAGGTACGTTACAGAGGATCTCACGATCAGTAATTTGTGTTCCCAATGAGCTTACCTGCACTAAGTCATACCCATCCTTCGGAAGTGGTCTTGGTGGCCCGGAATATTTGCAATTGTACCTCTTATCTCCAGATGCAATTCCACATTCTCCATACCAAACACAGGACTGGGAAAATACCTACAGAAAGTCAACACAGACCTAGATGTCATGGGTCTCAATGGAAAAACAAATCTCCACAAGGAAAAGCACTCACTTAAGCACCATTTACAGAACCTTTCAATGTTGCCTGCAAAATGTTACAGGCAAGAGACGCTTGTTTAACATTTTGAAAAATATAATAAAAACAGACCAAATTCCTCAGATGGATTTGTATATGTTCTGCTTGCTTACTTGTGAAGGGGAAGCTATAGTTCCCTGTAAAAATCACCTAGAAATCACAGTGCATGGGAAAGCAGAGAGGATGTGAGTTAGTGATTACAAAGGCACTATATTTGCACATTTGCACAAGAAACTATAAGCTCTAAACAATGAAAAGATATTTTGACCAACTCTTAGGTTAATGAATATCAGTACTTTGGAAGTGACCTAAAGAACAAAACAACAAATATCAATAACCCTACTATAAAAGTAAAAGCAAGAATGAATACTTTGTCCCTGAGGCTGAAGTAGAAAGCAAGTAATGCATGTGCTCACTTTAATGAAAGTCACCTAAGCAATCTTATTTTTTAAACTCTCTTATGAAAGATTTCTCAAGAGCCACTCACATTCCTCCATGTGACAGTCACAAGGTTGCAGAAAAGCTAGAAGTGGGAAGGGTTCCCACTGAATCAGCATGGTGTTCCAAGAGTACTGCCCAAGGCAACTCCATACTTTGCATCTCAATTGACTCAGAGAGCACAAAGGGCCCAGCAAGCCAGGGACACTGGCTTGCATTTGTCCCATAGGGAAATAGAAACACTAAGAAGCAACCACAGCTCCCAAGATACTTGGTGGAAAAGCCATTAAAAAAAATTGAATAGAAGCAACTGCATGATTTCTCTCTAGTGACAGTGGCATGTAACCCACAAGTATAAGGAGCTACATCAGTCTGTGTTAGTCCCCAGCCAAGATACAAATCTCGTAACAGTCCCTGAAAGACCTAAAACATGAAATTAAAAACAAACAAAAACAGGCTGGGATATACATGTGTTTGTGGGGGGGGGGGAAGAAATTAGAATCAATATAACTTGCCTCTGAATTCACTCTTCAGATTTTCTAAAATACAAATTATGACTTGCATGCCTGTAATCCCAGATACTCTGGAGGCTGAAGCAGGAGGATTCCAAGTTCGGGGCCAACCTAGGTTAAGATCCTGTCTCAAGAAAAAAAAAAGGGTGGGGGTGGAGGGGCTGGAGATAGAACTTAGTGGTAAGACATTTGCTAGCATGGACAAAACCCTGGTTCAATTCCTAGTACCACCAATAAATGAATAAACAAATATGATTTTCTTCCCCTCTACATGTACTTCTCTCTACATGTACTTCTCTCTCTGTTTTTTTTTGAGACAGGTTCTTGTCCTGCAGCTCAGGCTGGCCTTGAATGCCGAATCCAGTGCCCCTGCCTCAGTCTTAAATGCTGGGATTACAGGCTTGTACTATCATGCCCACCTACTTCTCTCTCTCTTAACTCATTAAAAGTCACAAGTTCAGGTCACAAGGGAGAGAAACTATCCAAATGAGGAAGTGGACAAGCCATTAACTAAACCTAGCAATCTAAGGAAAGAAATGCAACTCTGGGTTTCCAACTTTTAGGTCATTACCCATCTAACTAAAGCTTGAAAAGGCACAAGCTGATTACCAAGGTGGATCAAACTGCTGATATTTAAATGTAATTAAATACACGCATCCTCTCCCTAGACCTCATAGAATTCTCAACTGACTGGCTGCCAAGCAGTTCTCACAACAGAGTTAAAAGGAAAAATTCCTTAGGCCAATAAAATATAGTAGTTGATTTGAGCAAGGCAAAACAAAAACTGACTCATGAATCCAGCAGCTCCCAGAACCAGAGCAGGTTCTGAGCATTCCAACAAACAAGGTGGTCAGACAGCATTGATAGAAAAACCGAAATGAGGCACAGGAAACAATTTAATCCACTAGTGCTCAGTTCACGAATCAGTCAAATGGTTATAGCTTAATTAGTTAACTGGTTACAGGACCTCCTGCAACCAACCAAAGCTCAGAAACTGTGATTAAACTCTCTATTGATTTGGTCTGTCACGTCTGTCCCAGTGCAGGTGCCCAGTCCAAATTCATGGCCTTCCATCAATTTTAGTTAACAACAGAAACCCAGTAACAAACCGCAGTCCTGGCATGGCAAACAGGAAGGGAGTCTGGAGCCTAAATTCTCTTTCCTCAGCATTTGGTGCTACATAAGCAAACAAGATGACTCAACGCTGTTTCACAGAGGTCACCCTTTCTAACTGACATCATTCATTTCAAAGCAAAGTATTGTTTCTACAAATTTGATGGAAACAGTGAGGAAGTGGAAGGCATGAGATCAGAAGCCCTGGGTTCCCATCCTAAGAACTCACAAGGTTTCCAATCGATGCCCTTGGGGAGCCAATCACACCTGGAGCAGGTTACTTAACCATGCTGAGTAGGAAGGTATCTACCTGTGAAACAAAGTTCACAAACTCTGCTGATCTCACAAGTTTGGTATGAAGACCAAATGAGGGAATATACACACGAAGATAGTAAGATTTAGTAAACTACAAAGCATGACACAATCAAATGTAAAGAATTATTATTAAGGTCTTCCAACTGTTTGGGAACTCAGTCAAGAGACTCCAAGGAACTGAAGAAGAAAAAAAAACCTGAGGAAATCTGGGCTCATGCTTGCTAGGCAGGTGCTCTAATGAGCCACTCTGCCAGCTCTCAGGTTTGCTTCCCACAAAGGCAGCAGTTGAAAGTGACCAAGGACCCAAGAGTATTCACAAGACACTCACTGCATGCCAGGTATTGTTTTAGATGCTCTTCATATGCCACTCCAATTAATCCTAACCACAGTTTGATTCTGGAGGTGCTTTAATGGGTATTGCTATACCTATTTTATAAGTGCAGAAACTGAGGTATCAAGACTATGGAACTTGTCCAAGATCACACAAATAGTGGTCAAGCTAGGAGTCAAGCTATAGCATTCTGGCTTTGAAACAGACTCTCAATAAAATACTATCAACTGCATAATTAAGGCCCTCCTTCTAGCATTACACCCCTGCCCACTCCCACTTGTCCAAGGGCAGGAGCCCATGTGACTCACTCACACAGCCGCATTGATGGCAAGGCCTCTGCACCTCAAATCCCTCCCCCTCCCATGCCCTCTTATCACCTGTGGCTGTACAAGGAGAGCCCATCATCCTCCTCACTTGAGCCTGCTTAGGACCTCCACCACTTGGTCTCCTCATCAACATTTTCAACCTCCCCTCTTTCTTGGTCTCTGCAACTCCTATAAACACTGCTCTGATTTCATTTACAAATCCCTCTTTCTCAGCTTCAAATGATCCCTGACCTCTCTCCAAGTACTTCTACCTAGCTGCCAACAGCCCTGGATACTCAAAAGGAAACTCATTTTTCAGAAGCCTCTTCTGTGCTTGTCCATCTGAAAGGAGTTTAAACTCCTAGGCTCCCTTCAAACCCACTTCCATGGCCATCCATCGCCCAATTCGAGAAGTTCCCTTGTAAAGCCTTCTCCCACTCTTATCTGAACCATGCATGGCAACGCCTCCTGTGTACAGTTGCCACTTGGCTCTTACTAAAGGGTGGCTCCATAGTTTTCAGGTGCCCAGAACCTATAACCCACTCTCCATGCTGCCTGTGAGGCAGGTTGCAGGTGTTTCACCCGCTACACCCTTCTTTCCTTGGTCCTGCACTAGGAAGAACCTGCTGGCCTGTGCATCAGCTGTTGTGGGGTCCGAGGAGGAGGGGAGGGGCACCAGGGATTCTTATCTTCACTAGGCTTAGGAACAAGCTTATGAGACACGGATAGTGCACACATGGGTAGATTTATTAGAAAAAGAAAAGGCTGCAGCTAGAACAGTGCAGCAAAGCCTAGAAACCAGTGGCTTCCTGCTGAGGTGAAGGCTGGGCTTTTTAGGTAAACTTTAACTCTGGGTTAGGGTAAGGGTTAGGTAGGTTCTTTCCATTGGCTGTGGATTCACATGCACGTGGGCTCTCTTCGATGAGCTGGTCTGTTTGCCCTTATGGGGGGGGGACAACCTTGAGAGCATCCTGTCTATCAGCCCCATGACAGATTTATGAGACCATGTATCTCCTTCCCAGAGTGCAAGACTCATAGTGCTCTCCCTGGGGGACGTGATACTGACTCAGTCATCTGTCCCTTAGGTTCCCAGACCCAACACTGCCATACAGGAATGGCCTCTCCGTCACACCATACTCCTTACTACCTGCTAAGGCCACTCACAAACCTATAATTCTCTTGTGGTGCCTTGCAGACACACTCAAGCATGGCCTCTCCTTCTGAGCTCCCATCACACACATTTGGGTCCCATGGGACATACTACACCACCACCACCACCACCACCACCACCACCACCACCACCACCACCACCCTCCGTGCGCAGACACTAAGTGTGCCCCTCTTGTTGCAATCCTCAGAGCAGATCTGTGAGGCACTAAGGAAACTGAGGTTACACAATCTAAGGCACAGCAGAGCCACTGGCTACTGGTGGCCTTGGTGCTTGGAAAGCCAGAACTCTTGCTCCTTCCTCTGCACTGAGGGGCAGAGGGGCACCCCTCAGTGGACTGTGGATCCAGCAGATGGGGCTGGTCCATGGTCATCTCTGCAACCCATAAAGAACCTAGCTGTCATAGAGAGATTGGATTTCCAGCAGAGTGTGCACTCAGGACCTTATTGACTGACAAAGAGGAGGGATGTGCTGTAAAATCCCTCAAAGCCACAGTACATGCTGACGTCAAGGCGAAGGTGCATGGCAAACGAGGCTCATGTCAACCACACATTTCTTTTCTTTTTCTTCTTCTTTTTTGGTGGTATTGGGGTTTGAACTCAGGGTTTCATGCTTGCTAGGCAGGCACTCTACCATTTGAGCCACTCTGCCAGCCCCCACACACTTCCTTTTTAAATAAGGCACCTGATTTCCAAACTTAAAGCTGCCTTCACTATAA